CAACTAGATCGGTTTCGGGTTGGATTTTTTCAGTTCGGATATCTTTCGGTTATATGTTATAATCGGTTTGGTTCGGTTCGGATCAGTTAAATTTTGGTTCGGATTTGATTTCGGTTCTAGACATTTTTTTGTTCGGTTCGGTTTTGAGTCGGTTCAAATAGGTTCGGTTATAAATCGGTTCGGATAGATTTCGGTTTGGATACAATTTGAGTCGGATATATTTTGGTTTCGGGTCTAGTTCGGTTCGGATATATTTCCGTTTCGGATCAAATATATTTTGGATATATATTATTTTCTAATTAAAATTTAACTATCCGTGTTTCTTTTTATATGTTTTATCACATTTATCAATCTATCATCAATTCAATACCTCATATTATTTTATATTTTTTTCTAGTTATATTATCTCTACCCTAAATAATCTTCCCTTTTTGACTTTTTAGTCATATTTTACAAATTTGGACTACAAATTATGAAAACATATATATTTAATTATGATATAAATTTAATATAATTAAATTGATTTTAAAATTTAGTTTTGAAATATAAAATTTTTCTCACATATACTACTCCCTCCGTCCCATTTTAAATTGCATGTTTGCCTTTTTTCTCCGTCCCAAAATAAATTGCCTGTTAGTTGTTTTCGTAAACTTTTAAAAATAAAATACCTAAACTACTCTTAAAATAAGTTACTCTTTTTCACCTTATCTTCTCATTCATCATTACCCCTCTTAAAAAGTAATGTCAATTTAGAAAAATCAACTCTATTTTTTATTTTCCTTAAATATGCCCAAAAGTCAAAACGGGCTATTTAAATTGGGACGGAGGAAGTAATATACTTATGTATATAAATGAAAGGATAAAAGATAAATTCAAATAGTCTTATGTTCCATTTGAATACAATTTGGTAAAAAATGAGTAAAATTGGGTGAAATTAAGTGAATTTTATTCAATTGAGTGCAAAATTTGTAAATTATTGAGTATATTTGGTTGAAAATAGAGAAAATTAAATTTAATCGAGTCAAATATAATTAATTTTACATCTAAATGTAATGGTGTAGATCAAATTTGAAAATGATAACAGTAAAGGCTGCCGCTAGAGAGTCTTTTCAAAACGCTAACACTAGCATCTAATTTTATTGACTAATATTGAGTGAATTGGTTTGAAACAAATCAATTTAAATTAACTCTCAAATCAATAAAATTTATTGTAATGAGATGAAATTAGGATAAAATCCAGTTATTCCAATCAATTCATCATATATTCTTTTCGTCCCAAAAAGAATATCACACTTCACTATTTAAAAATTACGGAAATTTTATTTGTTTGTGCGTTATCATTTATATGTATAACTTATCTTTAATTTCTACATATAATAAATTTAAGGCATAAAATTTTGTACTTTTTTTTCAAGAAGATAATCCATTTTATGAGGGAATGAGCAAGTAATGCAATTAGTTCAAATGGTAAAATAAAAGTAAAAATTTAAAAATATAATATGCTTATTGAAAAGCAAACATAGCTCTAAATTTATCGATTTTAGTTCTAATCGGGTTCGGATATTATCGATTTCAGATCTAATCAGTTTCGGATTTTATCAGTTTCGGGTATTATCGGGTTCGGATCTAATCAGTTTCGGGTTTAATCGGTTCGGATATTATCTGTTTCGGATCTAATCGGTTTCGGATTTAAATCGGATATGAATTATTTAGTTCGGTTTTGGTTCGATTCGAATCATTTCGGGTTTTCGGTTATAGATCGGATCTTCATTTTTCGGGTCATTCCGGTTTCGGTTTCGGATATTTCGGTTCGGGTAATCGGTTCCGGTTCTGTTTTGCCAGGTCTAGTTACTATTAACGTATCAAACTAGCTCTATTTTATTTATACATTTTTATCATCTATTTGAAAAAATAATTTAACCTTGTCATTACTTATTTTAAGGAATTTTTTATTTAATTTTTTAATATGTAGTATTTAATTTTTTAGCTCCACACCAATTTTTACTTATATTGATTTGAAAATAGCTTCAGTCAAAAATTACAGGGCCGTCTCTGAGAAATTAGGGGCCCTGGACAACACTGAGAAAATAGGTCATTGTATCATAATGAAGCCAAATCTATGAATTATATTTTCTAACAATAATAAGAATTACTCTGTACAATAGTAATAATAATAATAATAATATAAGAATAATAAAAAGTCAAATTCACAGTTTTATAAATCTATAATTACTACCTTAATAGCTCGCCAAAGATTTGTGAAGTTTTTCTAGCATTCTTGAGAGCAAATTGGTTGATGTAGGACTTTTCATGTACTCCCTCCGGCCCACTGTATTTGTTCACTTTTTTTTTGGAAGTCCCACTGTATTTTGTCCACTTACTATTTTTGGAGTATCACAAGTCTTTTTTGCCCCTCCTTGTTTAAGTTAACCCACTCCAATCTGTCCACCCACTTCACATGTCCACTCCACCATTTCTAGATCTATTCGCTTAGATCTACTCTCAATCTCTCTCATCCTCTTCGTATTCCAACCATGGAACCCTCATACATTGAGTGGGAATTGTGTTCCATCGTCCCTGAAACTCCAATTCCAACTATGGAATCCTCATTCTTTGAGTTTGAATTGTGTTCTTTCATCCCTGAAACTCCAGAATCAGTCGGAGTGAAGGCGACGGTCGGAAGTTCAGACCAGTCGCCCTCCGTGCATGCATCTGTGGATGGTGAGCCACTCTACCCTTCTATGGTTGTGCCTATGTCCCTTCCCATTATGATCCCTTCTGTTAGAGTATAAATAACTATTCGTGGGCCACAACCACAAGCTTGAGCTTTTGGTTGAATGGGTTCCTTGACATGGTATCAGAGCCTTGATGACCAAGAGGTCACGAGTTCGAAACACAGCGCCACCCAGTTTAAAAAAAATTAAGTTTTCACGTGCAAGGCTCGAAAAAGACTACGCCTGCACGTGAGGGGGCGTGTTAGAGTATAAATAACTATTCGTGGGCCACAACCACAAGCTTGAGCTTTTGGTTGAGTTGGTTCCTTGACACCTTCATTGAAGCCGCCAAGCTTGAATTTGACCGTACCCAAGATTCAATGTGCCGGACTGGTACCATGATTCGTCTACGAAGGCACTTCTGAAGATCTTGCCGGGGTGAAGGTGATAATCAAAGATCTTGCAAGGGGGAGTGGTTCAACATATGAGCATGCCGGGGTGAAGGTGATAATCAAAGATTCAGACCCGCCGCCCTCAATGGATGGAGACGAAGGGGGGAATGGTTCAACATCCAGCTGGAGGGATTCATGTTGAAAAGAGAATTGGAGAATTGAGAATTAAAGATGTGAAGAAGATTGATGAGAATTGGAGATTGTGTGAAAATTGGAGATGGAGTTTGAAGTTTATTAAAAAAAAATTAAAAAAATTTAAGACTGCAACGGCTAATTTAGCCTTTAGGGGGGAGGGGGGGAGTGCGTCAAACGTCTGACGCAGAGAGAGTGACGCTCGACTGAAGCCCTAGGGGGGCGGTGTTTGACGCCCCCGGGCATTAAGATCGTGCTTGACGTCGGTGGGCGTTGCACCCATTTCCGATGCTCTTAGAATGATGTGGAAACTTTTATTATGACTCATGTTTATCAGACTACATGGCATCATTTGAGCAGAGGGGTATGGATACCCTCTCGTTTCACAAGACACCAGAGAAAAATCCAAAAAACAATTGACAAAGTGTATTTTTACAAGTTGATTGTAGATAGGGAAAAGAATTAAAAATTAATTTTCTTTCACCTATTTGCTTCTTCCCTCCCATGTTATTATCTTAAACACTGATGGTCTAGAGAGAAATATCAGATTTACTGCCAATCACATATAAATTTGCTCTGCCTCTCTCTTTTAATTTGTTTAATTTCTTTTAACCACAGAAGAAACTTATTTGGTTGGATTACAATCACTATACACATAATTAATATGATTATAATTAAACCATAAATCAAATATATTTATCATGTATTTTGTATGTCAAAAAGATAGAAAACTTATTATGAATAAATAACTTTAAAAAATAAAATTTTATAAAAATTTGTTATATACAAAAATTCAAGTAAGTATAAAAAATTAGAGATATAAAAGTGAAAAAGACTAAAGTAGGCGGAAAACTTTGAATATATACTAAAATAGGACTTTCATGTTTTTATTCTCGATTTATGAGTTAAAATGCATTTACATTAACAAACATGGTCATGTACATTACCAAAAAAGTATAATAATGTGCAAATCTACAGTGTCACATTACAACCACATTACCACAATGTAAAATCATATTTCGGGAATAAAAATATGGAACTCCTATTTTGATACTTTTTTATGTTTTAGACTTTAGTCCAATTTAGGATAGTTTCTAAATATAAAACATTGTTCATAGTGTAAAATTAAATTTACATTACCAACTTTTATACTCCATCTGTCCTATAATGTTCTTCGCAGTTCTATTTACGAGGTTTAACCGACTTTATTTTCAATTCAATTTATTTTATTGTTGGTGTAAAATTAAAAAATAAAAATTATATATTTAAAAACTACATCAAAAGTTTTACAAAACAAATGATGACAAGACTATATTATAAGTAAAGAAAGTGATTAATGTTTAACTGTGTGAAAAGTAAGTGGGGAGAACATTACAGATGAAGTATTACATATCGGAGATGTTCTGATGCGGATTATGGAGTAAACAATAAATTTAGAAAAATGCTAGGGGTACACCAAATGTGTACCCCATTTGTCCCCTACCCCCTCCTTGTCCACAAAAAAGGCAAGAAATTCAAAAAAAAATTAAATAAATAAAAATAAAATAAAAATGGGTGATGGAGAAATGGGTGGTGTACATTTGGAGTACATCTTTAGTGTACCCCTAGCATGACTCATAAATTTAAGGACATCATGACATTCAAAAAAAGAAAAAAAAAGTTCATAATCATTGTATTTCTAGCAACTACTGTGATCTCGAGCGTCGAGAATTTACGGTCTCTATTTTCACAGCCACTTCTTACATACCTCCCCTAACTCCTCTCCTTCACTAGCAACCTCTCCTTTTTTTTCTCTTTCGATTTCCTCTATCTTCATTTATGAACAATATTCGATGATCAAGGCCCATTTTAATGTACATGTGAATATGGATAACACGTCGGCATTACTGTTCATGTACGTAGAATCACATTTATATACTTTTTGGTGAAAGGGCTGAATTTTGGTTCCTAATTAAGTCTCTGCAGCTCTCGGATGGGAGGTATTATTAAAGTTTGAGTCTTTAATTTATTTCATGTTAAATTATATATTTGTTGTCTGAGTGTTGATTTTATTATGTGTTGTAATTCCTGATTGGGTTTTGGGGGCATATTGTAACATTTGCTTGAGTTAAATTTTTGTTTTGTCTATTTTTGCTTTTTTCACGAGTTTTTGGTAGAAAAATAATGTGCACTAAAACACCAAAAATTCAATTTTTTTATAATATACTTCGTAGTTGATGCTGCTGACACACAGATACCAATTTTTGCTCTATACATGTTTCTCATATCTGCAAAAATAAATGTCTAGGGAGACTTTGGAAGAACATTTAGCAAAGATTAAGAACACTTTGTATTTATGAGTAGTATTTATAGGAAATTATGGGGAGTCTTAATTTATGTACAAGACTAGTCTAAATAAAATAAAACTCTTCTAATTGCATTGCGGCTCGGGAAGCAATTTGTTGAAGCAATCTGCACCCAATGATTTAGTAAAACTTTAAACAAGTTGGCTAGCAAAAGCAATTTGATATGCATGAATGAGCTTGAATTGAAGGTGTTCGTGAACAAAGCTATAATTGACTTTAATGTGTTTCTTGTGGTAAAGAAATATTGAATGAACAACAATTCGTAAAGCATTTTTGTGTGACAAAAGACTAAGACACAGAAACCTGGACATTATAGTACTGCAAGCACAAAAATGAGTGATAGCCCAATATTCTGCTTCAGCGATGAGCAGGGTACATGATACAGTTAGTGGCTTCTTGGATTATCAAGAAATTGGATTGGCCCCTTACTGGATCTGAACATCAATGTTAAGGTACGGGCTTTTAGATGAAAGCATAAAGTTGTATCCACTATCCAATAGAGCCCGTGAAGTAGCAAATAAAATTTCAAGTTACAACACCAAGATGAAAATTCAGGGTTTTGCATAAGTTCACTTACATAATATATGCCGAAAAGGTGATATGATATCTGACCTAGTAACTTAAGAAATTCAAAAGGCACCCTATGAGGTGCTGATATTGGGATCAGAAAATTGTTTCCCATCCATCAAGAGTTCAAGGTTCTGATCATCCCTGATCTTGATAAATGCCAAGAGTATTTTTGTGCAGGTAGAAAATGACGCCATCAGATATGTGTGAGACCTTCCATGGAGATATTGTATACAACAAAGAATGAAAGATTCCAACTTGTAGCAGTTTTTCACACGTGGAAAAATGTTGTGAGATCGTGATAATCAACACCCTCATGTTGAAAATTAACATTACAAATTCCCTCTTTTAGTTGGTTGAACGTTAGAGCTAGATGTTATGTATAAAAACCTTTTGTGGGCCTTCAACCTTGAGCTTGAGCTTTTGGTTGGGTTGGTTCATTAAAAATAGATGCTCGGTTTTGATAAGAATTGGAGTTGGAACAATGGGGTTTAAGTTGATTGGAATGACACAACATGGCAAACCGCAGATTATACAAGGAGGAAAAATGTATGTAAAGCTTGTTGGACTTCCTCTTGGCAAAGAGGTTTGTAAAAATCTTATCAAGCGACAGAGTTTCATGCCCTAAATTTTGGGAACTAAGGTTTGAAAAAAAAATCTTGTAGTCCTTGGGGATTCTATGCTTAGATCTTGATTAGCATGCTCAAGGGCATCACGCCCCGCATCACATTCACATGGCCAAATAGGCCTAATGCCATCCATTTCGCCTCAAAAGGCACATAGTTTACTAAATTTGAGAATACATCATCTCTGTTCTGTTCAGTTTTAGAAATTAGATGTTTCATACAAAACTGATGGTATAAATTACCACCCGGGCAAACTACTATAGACCGGGGTGGTTTGCTAAGTTTAGATACTAAAAGTGCACAACAACTAGAGAGTGACTAGGAGGACTGTAGGTGGGAACACTTGTATTCTGATTGTTATTAAGTATGGAATGATTACAAGGAGGTTTTGCACAATACCTTTAGAAAGAGAAAATTCGAGGTCCCTTCTACCAAGGGTTGCAAGTTTATTTATAGTGGAATTAGGGGACATGCTGGCATGCGCCCATGCCTCGTCACATGCATGGCATGTGACGGTGCAGGTCCTGAAGCCCCTTTTGTCTTGTAGTGTTTGTCCTTCTTTCTTGGAGCTTTCCTTCGTAACTGTCCCCATTTGGCGCGTAGTGTTTGGCTAAGGATGCTTGGAAAGGTTTGCTGGCTTGGCTGAGTCGCTATCGTCCAAATATACCAGGTTGTTAGTATGCATGCCATTATGTTCCAACAATGCCCCCGGTAGTGTGACGGGTCCCAAACCACCCGGGTGGTTTACCACCCCACTGGTTAGGTTTGGGTTTGGGTTTGGCTAATCTACCATGGTACGCACTGCTCACGGTTCACCTGGTCGTTTCCTGTTGAATTCAACCTGGTCGGGTTTTGGGTGGGAATACACTTACCGGCCTTGTAGTAACTATCAAGGTCCCACGGTCAAACTACTCTAAACCGGTCTGGGGTGGTTTGCTAAGTTTAGATACTGAAATTGCACAACAACTAGAGAATGGCTAGGAGGACTCTAGGTGGGAGCATCTGTACTCTGATTGTTATTAAGTATGAGATGGCTACAAGGAGGTTTTGCACAATACACTTTGGAGAAAGGAAATTCGGGGTCCCTTCTACCAAAGATTATAAGTTTATTTATAGTGGAATTAGGGGACATGTTGGCATGTGCCCATGCTCGGTCACGTGCATAGCACATAACGGTGCATGTTCTGATGCCCTTTTTGCCATGTAGTCTTTGTCCCTTCTTTTGTGGAGCTTTCCCTTCATAACTTTGCACATTTGGCGCGTAGTGTTTGGCTGGGTGGCGTAGGGGAATCCAGCTTGGCTGAGTCGCTTCTAAGTCACTATCGTGCAAATATACTAAGTTTTAGTACGTACGCCAGTATAATCCAACGATGCCCCCGGTAGTGTGACGGGTCCCAAACCACCCGGATGGTTTACCACCCCACCAGTCAGGTTTGGGTTTGGCTTATCTACCTTAATATGTACTGTTCACGGGTCACCCGGTCGTTTTCTGTTGAATCCGACCTGGTCGGGTTTTGGGTGAGAATACACCCATCAAAAATTAATTTAGGGAAGTTGGATTGAGAATATTTTTGCTTGTGATTGTCCAAAATTTCACAGGGAGAAAAATAAAGGATGCATTCTTTGATGTCTGGTTTGAGGAAGCACAAGATAAAATTTGGACATGGGAAGATTTTGGTTGGTAAAGCCAAGTTTGTCTTTAGTATTTAGTACTTTCGTCATGGCTCACTTCCATGAAGCATAATTTTGGTCATATAAGACTGTTTGACAAAAACACCATCAACAACGATCCAGTTGGATCCCAAAAGACTGGGAGGGGGGGGGGGGGTGGTGAGACCTCACCCCTTACTTGAAACTTGAAAGTAGAGAGGATATTTCCAAGCGAGCCCAGTTCGAGTAACACATGCATCATATTGAGCACCGAAAGCACAGAGCATGAAAAGCACGAAAAAAGTTGCAAAGAACAAACTAAGCTTACAATAACAACAACCCAATTGAATGTCACAAGAGTAGGGTTTGGGAGGGTGTGTGTACGCAGACCTTACCCCTATAGAAATGTTGTTTTCAAAGAGACCTCGGGCTTAGCGTTGAAAGTTACATTGGTTGACTAACTACTACTTCATTAATTAAAAAAGCGCAAACAATTTAGAGATCCATTTTGCTTTATTCCATCACACCCGAAAGCTAAAAAATAATCAATTTTTGACTCCATCCTATGAATGGACACTTACGACCAGGGTGGAGAACGAGGTGATACAAATGATGGAAAAGCAAACTAAGCTTAATAAAAGGAAAAAGACTCAAGAAGAAAGCACCAAGCAAATAAAGCACAAACGACAAGTGCAAAAACAACTACAAAGCCCAAAAGCCTACCCGACTACCCTAATCATTACTCTCGAGACGCTCCTAAACTCTTTTGGGTTAATGTGATAGGGATTTGAAACGGTAGGATTCCGAATCTTTTTAAAGTGGCTCATATGGTTGTATTATCAAAACAAATAATTTTTCTCTTGAAAATTTGCTGGTTTACGGGGATTTCCTATTCATGATTTATTATGGGATTGGGGGGATAAGATTTGAACTTGAACAATGACTAGTAGACATTGAACAATGGTACTACATTGAGAAATAAAAACATATGATAGTCCATTGGAAAAATCACTAAGTTTTAGTACTATTTACGTAAATTCCTCAACAATTATTGCTAGATTTGCTGTTTATTGAACAGGGCCAGCCCATGGGGTACGGGCTGCCTGACCGGACCGGGCCCATGAATTAAGGGGGGCCAATGTTTTTAAAAATAATGAAAAATGCTAGGGGTATACCAAATGTGTATCCCATTTGTCCCCCACCCCCTCCTCCACCACATAAATGGGCAAACACTTTAAAAAATAAAAAAAAATAAAAATTAAATAAAAATGGGTGGTAGAGAAGGGGGTGGGGGACAAATAGGGTACATCTTTGGTGTACCCCATTTTTCCCCACCCCTTTTTCCACCACTTATTTTTATTTTATTCTTATTTATTTATTTATTTTTTAGTCTCTTGCCCATTTATGTGGACAAGGAGGGGGTGAGGGACAAATGGGGTATACCTTTGGTGTACTCGTAGCAATTTTCAAATAATATATGTGTGTGTGTTTCCAGATTACAAATTTCAGCGATCGACTTTCATCTTGCCATTTTCACGAGTTGCGTCCAGTCGGTCTAGCGGTGCGGAAGAATTGTTCTTCACTCCCAGAATTGAGAATTGGTAATCTGTATTCATAAAAATTCAAATTCAAATTCATGATTGAATAATTTTTAATTGCTATTTTGTTAATTCATATTCATTCTTCATTTAATTATTTTAGAATATTAAATCTAGGATTATTCTTAGAGTATATTAATTGTTAATTATTCATTCAATAATTATTGGGAAGGTATCCCACGAAATTACGTCTAAGCAAAAAAAAGGTTTTTTTATGCTCTGGTTTTGTCCCTTGCCTAATACCGTGTTTCCATGTTCTCTAGCTTGCTAAAATGACAAAAAAAACGGAAGGCTGGCTAATGTTTTTTTTTCAAAGTTATGAACAGAAATCTTTTTTCTTATAAACATTTTTTCACCATAGTCAATAAGAATGGAGTAATTTAGTAATTACTCAGAATATCTCATGTGGTAAAAAAATGTCCTGCTGTACGTAATAGCCTTCCTGTTGTGTAAAGATAAAAAATAATTGAAATCTATAAATTATGCTCAAGTATTTCAATTTACGAATTTCTTCAATTGTACTCGTTCATCTAAAAAATAAAATTTAGATAATTTTTTTTAACCTATTTGATTTCAAAAATAATTTAGTAGCTATGCCTCCTAAACACTTACCCGGTAGTCAAAAACGTAAAAAGAGAAAGTGAAATGAAGAAATGAGAAAGTCTCAAATGTAATTAGTTTACATACTTTTATTTAGTAGGTCATTAGGCATAAGTCCTTTAGGGCCATTTTTTTCCGTCTCGGCCCATGCCATTGAATTCTCAGGACCGGCCCTGTTATTGAACACAAAAGAGGAATAAAGATGTTTTGTATGAGAATTAGTAAATGTTTGAAGGAAATAAGGAATATTAGGTAAAACTTACGAACTTTGTATGGGTAGTATTTAAAGCAATATACAAATTCTCCTACTTGATCCTACTTGATTGCAATGCTAATAACTTTGGTCCTATTTGATGTACAAGTTTGGTTGGTCTAAACAATATAAAATGTATTCAATTACAACTTTGCTGAAGCCCACGTGAATGTCTATAACAAGTTAATAATTGTTACACCTAGTGCGTGAGAGGGTAGATTGAGACTTAAGTAATAACTCAATCTCTTATTTAATCCTATGGAACTGTCTCTTCATGCCACTATATTCTCCGTTGTCTTCCAGTGTTTACTAGTGTGCATAAGTTGGTGCTAAGGAAGCCATACCAAGAGGTTTAAGTAATTACTGAATGTGGTTCACAAGTGGAAATATCTCTCTTAATGCTTGGATGCTCAGGAAAAATGCCACCATTATAACTTGATCAAGGAGATCCAGCATGATCATCTACTGAGAGTAGAGACTGAAGAATACTGGGACGAGATTTGCAGGGTGTTTGTTTGCCTAAAGTAGTATGTTATATTGGGGTTTAACCGTCCACTATAACAAAAAAATGTTTGCCACAGAATACAGAAAATGGTCAAAATGCTAGTAATGTCGTGTGGCTTTCTTCTTTTGTTTAGTTGATTAATAAAATCCAAATTTCATGATGTCATTGCTGTTAGGCATAACCCAGTGAGTAAGAATACAACAACGAACCTCAGTACATTCTCAGCTTCGTAGGAATACATGATTTCATTGTCATTAGGTGCAAACTAGGAAGTACAATCTCAACTTTGTTTTTGCCTGTACGCAGCCTTACTCTTGTAAAAGCTAATTAGGTTGTTCCATTAGACTGTTGATGCATTGCCGCATTTCTTATTGAAAACTTCATAAGAAGTAAGAAGCAAAGGAAGTTAAATGTGTCGTTTTGATTTGTTTCATTATTAAGTTGCATTGTCAATAGTTAGTGTTTTAGCTCTATTGACAATGGACCAGAGAGTAAGATTGATTAATAATTGCTTAAAGTTTTTCTTATTGACCTGGTGGCCAACTCCCAATAAAGTGTTATTCTTCAGTTTCAATCCACATCTGACAATCTGTAAGAGAAAACATCTGATTATATTTTGTTTTTTTACTCCACTATAACATTATTTGGTTGTTCACTTTCTTTTCAGCTTTCTTGTTCGGATCATGACGGAAGTAACAATGGCACGATGGTAATCATGGTGTCATACAGTATGGCCCCAAGATCATCCAAACGATCACATCGGAAGTATGCTTTCACAGTATTCTTCATAATACTATTCACAGTTTGCATCATTGGGATCTTCTCCCATGCCCAAAGAATCTCATACTTCTTTCGCCCTCTATGGGACAACCCACCACCTCCCTTCCATCACCTACCCCACTACTATGCAGAAAACATATCAATGATCAATCTCTGTCGCCTCCATGGCTGGACTGCGCGTTCTAAACCGCGACGTGTTTTTGACGCCATCATATTTAGCAACGAACTCGACTTGCTCGAGATTCGGTGGAAAGAACTACATCCATATATAACTAAGTTTGTGATATTAGAAGCAAACACTACATTCACCGGCATCCCAAAGCCCCTATTCTTCGCTGAAAACAAGCACAGGTTTGCTTTTACTGCAGAAAAGATAGTTCACGGCGTGTTCCCGGGACGTGTTAGTGTGACATCATCATCTCACGGATCATATAAGGAAGACCCGTTTCGGCTTGAGGCCGAGCAGCGTGTGGCAATGAACCGGTTACTGCGCAGTGCTGGGATTTCATCCGGCGACCTGCTCATCATGTCAGACACTGATGAAATCCCAAGCCACCACACCATAAACCTACTCCAGTGGTGTGATGGGGTGCCACCGGTTATCCATATCGAGCTCAGACACTATTTATACTCCTTTGAGTTCCCTGTTGACTACAGCAGCTGGCGTGCCAGTGTCCACATTTACAGCCCTTCAACTCAGTACCGCCATTCGCGCCAAACTGATCGTATCCTTTCTGACTCAGGCTGGCACTGTAGCTTCTGTTTCCGCTACCTCAGAGACTTTGCTTTCAAGATGAGGGCATATAGTCACGCCGACAGAGTGAAGCGCCGAGAGCATCTTGATCACACCAGGATCCAAAAACTCATTTGTGAAGGCGCCGATCTTTATGACATGCTACCAGAGGAGTACAGTTTCAAAGAGTTGATCAAGAAGATGGGGTCTGTTCCTCCTTCAGCATCTGCAGTTAACCTTCCTGCATATTTGATAGAAAATGCAGAAAAGTTCAGATTCCTCCTGCCAGGAGGTTGCATGCGCCCTCCTGGGTGAGCTCCTCTGTCACAGTAAGCTCTCTTGTGTTGCTTATTAATTAGTCAGCCTAGTGGCTGTTTAGTTTCTGCTTGAAAAAGAGCTTTAGGTTAGTTTCAACATGTAAGTTATAACATAATAACTGCTTTTTGTGTGTGTATTTGTTTGAAAAAAGCTGGGAGTACACCAAGTTTGTAGCCCAACTTGCACACCAAGTGTATCTATCTTACACACACTGACAACAGTTATCTGTTTTCTGTGAAAAGTTTGTGAATGGCAATTGTTGTCTGTGTGTTGCAAGTTGGGGTACAAATTTGGTGTACCCCTAGCACACCTCATTTTGCCTTTGTGGGTAGCCTAAAGATGGGTGAACATCCTAGGAGTGGATGCTGTTGTCTTGCTCAATGTATTGTATTATTGTGTTGCTAGAACAGTTGTGTGATATGACCAAACAGCCATAGTGTCCTTGTAGTAATTAATGTTGCCTCTGTTACCAAGTTTATTTGATGATCGAATAAGAGTGTTTGCGCAATTTTGATTGCTTGTCATCAAAGTTCACCAACTTTTATCATAAATTAAATAAAATAGATTTTTTATATACAAAATAATTTCATTAGATTTATCATGTAAATTTGTTCATAATATTATTTTTTATAAGTGTTTGTTTGTCAAAAATGGGTATTCATGTGGATGAACATAAACACCATACATCCGGATGTTTGATACAAGTACTCGAATCTTTAGATTTTTGTGTAAAGTGAATTGAAGATAAATTTTTGTTAATCATCACAATGGGAAATTAGTTTAGGAGAGAAGTAATTTCTTCTAGATAAGCAAAGTCAACATTGACCATGAGAAAAATCATTTTTGAATCCAAAGGATTTTGTACCACTTTGAATTTCTTTGAGCGTGGAGCATAAAAAGTAGTCTGAGCCTGGAGATCCATTTGCAGCAGTAGTAGAAGTAGGGTCTACAAGTTTGGAATCCACATCAAATCGATCCATTGTGCAACAAACCAATCTTACACAGGTTTTACAAGTTTTTCTGCCACTAATGTAATGTTGATGAACAACATCAACTAACATTACAATAATCTTCAAGAGGATACAGAGCTTTGAGAGAACAAGAGCGTTCAAGATTTCACTATTTGGATATCGCTCTGAAGAATAGCCCAGGTAAGGCTAAATAGTGTTATCACTGCCATCCCCACTATCCTCATTGTCAACTTGGCATCATATCAATTTTCTTCATTTTATCTTCATTTCATCCCCATTTTGGGGGTGTGGATCGTCATTTCATCCTTATTCTTTTTTTTTTTTTTTACATATTACTTTTATACGGGGTAATATTCTATACAATTTTTTAAGTAAACTAAAATAAAATTTGAAATTTAAAACTAAAATTAAAAATTGAAAAAATTGAAATCACAAGATGAAATTAAAAGCCAAAAAAACTGAAATTCGAATCAACAACTGAAATTCGAATAAAAAACTGAATTCAAAACCAAAATAAAAATTAAACTAAATGAAATTAGAAATAAAAAACTGAAACTAAAAAATGAAATTAAAACTTGGATCTAAAAAGAAAAAAAAATCAGATCGGAAAAAAATTAAAAAATTGGATCTAAGACGAGACTTAGAAGAGAAAGAAGAAGGAGAAAGAAGGTAGAAGAGGAAGAAAAAAAGGTAAACCTCAGTCATGGGCTTTGGCGCGCAGATGCCTATCATGTCGAGTCCCGATCGGGGGGAAGGAGCGGTGTTTCCCGTCGTGACGGGCTGCCAAATCAGACGCCGAATGTCCAATTTCCTCCTATACCGCACAACCTAATGGACGAATATGCGGGAGTTTAATTTGGAGCCATGGGCGAAAAAAAGTGGGCAATTGAGTATCTCATTTGTATATCACGTAAAAATAGACATGCACATATATTTAATGGGAGAAAAACCAGAGTAGAACTAAAATATTGAAAATATATCAAAATAGGACTTTCATGTTTTTTTCCTGAAATAGGACTTACATTACCAAATATGATTATATACATTTCAAAAAAGTATAGAAATGTGCACATGTACACTGCCACGTACCACATGGCAAAGTCACATTACCACAGTCCTATTTCGAGAAAAAAAAACATGAAATTCCTATTTTGGTAATTTTCTCTATGTTTTAGTCTTATTTAAGGTGATTTCTAATATTTAATGTCTGTGCGTGCATATGCATTTATCTAAATTGAAGATGAAAATTAAAAAATGGAAAAACTCACGAGTGAAAATACCTAATTACGGCTAAAACATGTTCTGTATGATAAAATAAGATCTTTAATAATTTTATGCCAAAATCAGATGTATGATACTGAATACAGAGTGATTCCAATATATAATACTATTCGTCCACTTTTGACTTTTGGAACTATTCATCTAAGCAATTTGACTCATCAAGTTCTCTCAATGTGTAAGCCTAAATATAGTCATGTGCGATCTTGTTTGATTTGTCTTAACATATAGATTATTAATATATAATTTCTATAATTTTTTAATATACAAATTACAAGATAAAATGGATTAAAGAAGTGTATTGAATGCTGTGTAAAAATGAAAGTGGACAAATACCCTGGGACGAGGGAGTACTATAAAGGGAGCATCTAAAATGACACCAGTTGCTTACACCAGTTCGTTTGGGGTACCTACGGTGCCTCATTTGTAAAAATGACGGTTCCTACCCCCCAACCCTCCCCTAAACCCCCCACCCCGACCTCACCCCTTGCCCCCCACCCTAGCCCCCACCCGCCCCCTCCCTACCCTGGCAGTCAGTGTCATGCCAGGGTAGGGAGGGGGCGGGAGGGGGGCGGTGGGAGGTTTAGGGGGAGGGTTGGGGGTAGGAATCGTCATTTTTACAAACGGGGCACTGTAGGTACTCTAAACGAACTGGTGTAAGCAAATGACACCAGTAGCACTGGTGTCATTTTAGACTTACCGTACTATAAAATACTAAAACATAATGTCAAATATGATATTTACACTGCCAACATTTTCGAGATAAATGCATGTAAACTTTAATTTTTAGTCTTATTTAGGTATATTTTTAAAATTCACATCATTACTCCAAAAAAATTGAAATCATTACTCTAAGATTCATTGAATGAAACCTATTCTAAAAAGTAAAAAAATTGATTAAATTTCAAAATATGAATCAAAAGATATAACTCCCAAAATAGGAATTAATGGTCGTTAGCTGTTAACCATCACAACTCATCTGCCCAATTCTCACACAACTCAAACGCTAATCCCAAAACTAAAAAAACAATTCAGCAACGGTGTACCACTACTACTTGTTGCCGACACCAACGCCCACTATCATCAATGCCACTGTGCCCTAGCCTCCACCGTTGCTGTGTTCTTGTCACTATCACTTGAATCTCAATCGTTGTTATGCCCTTCTACGTCGGTGATATCAAAATCTACCATTGCCGCTGTTGATTTTTCACCTTCACCACCGACATCACCGCTCTCTACCATTTTCACCCACCTTACCATCACAATTTACACATTCGTCGTCATAGTGTCACATTAACTATCAATACAGTGTCGTCAAAGAATAATAGCAAACATGATATCACATAATGTCACACGTGACAATATATAATACCAAAAATACTCATATATATAATGCCACAACGTAAATTTACAATGTCAGACAAAGGCATAATGTAAAACCAAATCCAACACCCTACATGACTTTTTAGTGACAAAATTCAAAGAAAATAAAATTCAGTTAAAGGTTAAGAAAGAACTCGCTCACTTTTGAAATCAGGCTTGAGGGAGGGAGATGAAGGTGGGGTGGCTGGGCATCGGTGCAATGATAAATATGAGGGGGGGGGAGAAGGTGCAATGAGGTGGTGATGGAATTGCAATTAGGTTGCAACGGCGACAGCGATTACAATCGACTGAAGAAATGGGAGGGCGGTAGAAGAAAAATCGGCACGGAGAAGCACTGGTAAGAATGAGATGGGTGGGGGCGCATGGAGGCGATGATGATAGCGTTGTGATTCAGCATTCGACAATTGATGTGGATTGAAGAAGAGGGGGTGGGCGCCAAAAAGAGATTGGTGTGTAGAGCCAATCGAAGAAGGGGTGGACGAAGAAAATAAAAGATTTGGCGTGGGGATGAAGTGTGTGATGAGGTTTTTACGTGTTAAGAATTCAGGCCATATTTTGAGAAGTTTAAGTTTGATATTGGATGTATAATACTTCCTCCATCCCTGAGTATTTTTCCACTTTTTATTTTTTCGGTCAAAATTGGTAAACTTTAACCTTAAATTAAATAAAAATGGTATTAGATATTGATACGAAAATTAAGTTATTAGATTTATTATATGAAACATTTTTAACATTTTATTTTATCTAATTAATATACAATATCTATTACTTAATCATAGGTCAAAGGCTGAAAATAGTTGACTGAAAAAAGTTAAAACTGGACAAATACTCTAGGGCTTAGGTAGTACATGTTTTGCTCCTATTTAGGGCTAAACTAAATTTTTATCCGTTTTTCAAAATTATTAAATTTAATATTTTTCTTAATTAGTTCGTATATCTATCATAAAATATGATATCTAGTATAAACAAAAACATTGATATAAAATATACCATGTATATGTTAGAGAAGGTGAGTTAGGATATTTAATTATTGTAATTTTGTTTAGGTGTTGGGAGAAATTATAAAGTCTTTTATGATTTTTCTACTAATCTTTCCTAGATCAAAACAAGAAGGTTGACCTGAATATGGTTCTTATGGTCTGTTTAGTGAATTTTAGAGATATGGTATAATATGAGTTTTATAATCTGAATAAAATGATGAGTTTTAAAATCTGAAATGAAATTGTTCACTAAAAAGTGTACCCCAAAGCCTCTTTACCAGCCACTTCAAGTATTGATAAAAAAAATTTAATGACTGGATGAAGAATCTATAATCAGAATTGGTAATATACAAATGGGGTACATCATAGGCTACGGGTCTACCATTACTTTTTTAAATTTATTTCAAGGGTCTAAACTTGTTTTTTAAGGAAATTGTTTTTATTTTGAAGGTAATTGGATATTAAAATCATATAAAGAATTTTAAAGGATAAATTTAATTTGTCAATTTCTAACATTTTTGGAGTGCGTTTACTCCCACAATCCTAAAACGCTTTTTCTGTTTCCTTTTATGAAGCTTGATCGACTTTATTTTCAATTTAAATTATTTGATTATAAGTGTAAAATTAAAAAAAAAATATTTAAAAACTATACCAAAAGTTCAACAAAACAAAAGGTAATAAGGCTATATTATTTTATTAAACAACTAACGGAAATAGATAAACAAAGTGATCAACGTTCGACCGTGTGAATAGTAACTGCAAAAATATTTTAGAATGGAGAAAATATTAATTTTTAATAAAGCTTAACTCTATGAATAATGAACAAAAAAAATTCTTTTCTTGTTGCCAAAGTTTAAATTAAATTTCAAATATAGGATTAGGTTTTTTTTTTGAGGTGGAGAGGAAGTCCGAGTATCACAATACGAGTAATAATAATTAAGGAGCAATTAAAGAAACATTATAAAAGAAGGGGTCATATTACAAGTCAAAATCACCGACCCAAAAGGCGATATATATATATATATATATATATATATATATATATATATATATTCCAATTATTTAATTATTTATTTCTCTCCACGCGGAGCGTCGTTTCACACACTCTCCTCTCCTCCCCCTAATCCTCACTTACCACGTCGGAAACATCGTCCAAAATCAACGCAAATCCTTTCTTTTTTACTCGCCGTGTTTAAAGAAATGCCTCAATAAGTCAACTCTCTTATCCCCATCTAATCAGATAACTAGAATGACTTATCGGTAATAAGCCGAATCGCTTATCAAACCCCCGTATCATCTCTGCTCTATTTATTCGTCTCAGACACATTTGGTTCTTCGCTTCACATGAACTTCTCCTCCTCCTCCTCCTCCACCAAATACCTAGAGAGAAAGTATTTAAAAAAGGAAGAGTCTAGAGAGAGAAAGAGACTCCAGCGACCAAAAAAAGGTACACCAAAACCCTACGATCTGTGTAATCTGCTCTCTTTCTCTCTCATTCATTCAAGGCACCGCACTTTCTCTCTCTCTCTCTCTCTATATCTATATATCTATCTATATATATGTATGTATATGTATGTATATATATACATGTAAATACACGCACACCTATACATACACATGCAGCTGTGTATATACGTCTGTGTGTATGCGCGCGCATCTTTGATTTTATTGTGTGATGATTTGATTTTGGGGGAAATCGGCCGTGATTGGGAATTGCGGCGTCTGAATTGATCTGTGGTGGGATTCAATTTTGTTTTCTTTTTTGGTTATTGGTTTCAGGGTTTAATAATGCTTTCTTTTTTTTGCAGGAGGCGTTGTTGGGTGGAGAGGACAAAGAGCAGGACATGTCGTCCTTGAGCAGAGAGCTTGTGTTTCTGATACTTCAGTTCCTTGATGAAGAGAAATTCAAAGAAACTGTCCATAGGTAGGGTTTAGGTTTTGAGTTCTGTTTTCTTTCCCTTTTTTTATTTGGCTGGGACGAGGGATTGTTGTAGACAAGAAATAGGAAAAGGGGAATTGCTCTTTTCCCAGATATTCTTTTGAGTCCTGTGAAATTACAGTGGATTTTTTCGGGGCCATAGTGGGACTGTGCATATAATCAGCTTATTTTGATGATAGGTTATTTATTTGGGGCTAAGTTTACTCTGTAGACATGCAGAAAAGAGATCATCTTAAGTCTGAAATCTCTTCTTATTGTGATTTGTTACCCTTTTGGCACTAAGTTTTGAGAGGCTTTTGGTCTACTACAGTTTTGTTTAGTTTAATGTTGTTGATTGACTGCTTTCTGTTGTTTAATTTGTTTGGAAAAGATTGGAACAAGAATCTGCATTTTTCTTTAATATGCGCCACTTTGAGGAATTGGTAACAAATGGAGATTGGGATGATGTGGAGAAGTACCTTTCAGGCTTCACAAAAGTTGATGACAACAGATATTCAATGAAAATCTTCTTTGAGATCCGAAAGCAAAAATATCTTGAAGCGCTTGACATGTAAGAAAAAGTTTAATCTACTGCAAGCCATGCATTGCTTCATATTTGAGTTTGATATGTCTGGAGCTTTGTGTTGGATTATTACAGCAATGTTTCTGCCTAATAATCCATTTCATTGTGTTATTAATTGTTTTTCAATCGGAGCAATTGTAGGAAGGATCGCGCTAAAGGTGTTGAAATTCTAGTTAAAGACTTAAAGGTTTTTTCGGCTTTTAATGAAGACCTTTTCAAAGAAATAACACAACTCCTTACCCTCGAGAACTTCAGGTAATGAATGATATATCCAGGATTGCCTCTGTTGTGTGACTTATCGCTTGTTCCCCTTGGACATGATGCATATGGCGTTAATGTAATACTTGCAGAGACAATGAGCAATTGTCTAAATATGGAGATACTAAATCTGCAAGGAGTATTATGCTCGGTGAGCTGAAGAAACTGATTGAAGCAAACCCCTTGTTTCGTGATAAACTAACATTTCCAACCTTGAAGAACTCAAGGCTGCGGACATTAATCAACCAGAGGTATGATTACACTGAATTACTGGAAGTGAAGTTTCTCTGGTTGGATCCAGATACCTTAAGGTCATTGCAGTTTTTACTAATCAGTGGCTGTCTGTGATTGGTTGCAGTTTGAATTGGCAGCACCAGCTCTGTAAGAATCCAAAATCTAACCCTGATATAAAGACACTATTTGTTGATCATTCTTGTGGGCAGTCGCAGCCAAATGGTGCTCGTGCCCCTTCACCCGTTACTAATCTGATGGGAGCAGTCCCTAAGTCGGGGGGATTTCCATCTCTGGGTTCTCATGGCGTAAGTTAATGTTTGAAAGGAGCTTCCTAAACTTATGTTGGTAGTTTCTTACATGTTGACCTGCTTTTTTGTTTCATCCTTTTGGCTCTTTCAGCCCTTTCAGCCATCACCTGCCCCTTTGCCAACATCTCTTGCTGGATGGATGGCTAGTCCATCTCAAATTCCACATCCTTCAGCTTCTGCTGGGCCCATGGGTTTTACTCCACCTAACAATACTGGTTGGTACATTATTGGAAAGTGTTATATGGCACATCATTGATGTTGCTCCGTGTTTGATTTGTTATGTGATGAATATGGGAGACCATATTTTAACCTAAGACGATTTTATTGACTCTGCTGCTAATTATTTTGTAGCAGCCTTATTAAAACGCCCTCGGACTCCACCCACAAATAATCCACCTTTGGACTATCAAACAGCTGACTCTGAACATGTGTTGAAGAGGCCACGACCATTTGGAATTTCTGATGAAGTATGTTTTTTTTTCAAGTTTTTCTGTATTTACTTCTAGAGGTGAACATTTTCTTGAGCTTTATGCGAACTGAACATGTTAATTGGCGGAGCTTTTACATGCACAAAAGTGAATACATAGTCTTTTTATTCACATGCGTTCTGATGTTTGTGCCTTGTGCATATTATTTTCTAGGTATTATAAAGAATGGTAGCTCGGAATAAGTTTGTATATGACTCTGTTTTGTGTTAACACCAGTCTAATAATAAATCTATTTGCAGGCTAACAACATGCCTGTCAGTATTTTACCTGTTGGATATGCCAGTCAGAATCATGGCCAAAGTTCATGTTCAACCGATGATTTGCCGAAAGCTGTTGTTATGACTTTGAACCAAGGTTCATCAGTCAAGAGTATGGATTTTCATCCTGTGCAACAGATTCTACTTCTTGGTTAGTTCTCAAATTCAGAATATATTTAATAAAATTGCACTTATACCAGTTCATATTTCTTTAAATTTCGTATTCCCTGTTCTGTTTTTGAAATAATCACAGTTGGGACAAGCTCAGGAGAGATAATGATTTGGGAATTGGGTACTAGGGATAGACTTGCCCATAAAAATTTCAAAGTTTGGGACATAGAAGCTTGTTCAGCTACATTTCAGGTTTGCTTTCTAAATAACTGCCATTTTGTATTAATGGGAGTTTAATGCCAATTATTAGTGGTCAATTTCAAGCTTACAATGATTAATAGATTTGTGGACATTGGTGTTCTATATTGTATTAGGCTTCTATGGCAAAAGAGTACTCTGCCTCAATTAATCGCGTAATGTGGAGCCCTGATGGATCTCTATTTGGTATGTTACAATAAGATTTTATGAATTAGATTTTGAAATAGGTACTCTCAGCTGAATTTTTCCCTCCAGTGGCTTGACTTCTTTCATTTTCTGTTATTTCATCCCAGGTGTTGCATACTCCAAGCACATTGTACACATCTACTCATATCATGGTGGTGATGATTTAAGAAACCATTTTGAGGTTAGGTATCATGATTTTTGGGATGTGTACTACTGTACTAGTTAATGGGAATTTTTTATTCTAAATGGATACATGAATTCATCACTACTCGTTTGATTTTTTTTAGATTGAAGCCCATACAGGAAGTGTCAATGATATTGCTTTCTCATACCCCAACAGACAACTTTGTATCATTACTTGTGGAGATGACAAGCTAATTAAGGTTTGTTTTTCAAGTGATTATGCCCCAATGTATGCTGGGTTTAAATTACTCTTATAGTGATCAATTTTTTATGCTTTACAGGTATGGGATACAGTAACAGGTACCAAGCAATACACATTTGAGGGCCATGAAGCGCCGGTATATTCTGTATGTCCACATCACAAAGAAAGCATTCAGGTAAAATCTTCACATACCCCTTCTGACCCTAAATTAATCACATTTACCTTTTATATCCATCCCATTATATTCGCTCATTTCTTCTCTAGGATAATAATATTTGTCTCCCACTACTGATCTCTTTTCAAAATTAATTTAAATCACATTGTTTTTAATTTCTTAAACTTCATGCCCAGTCAAACTGCACACTGATATATAGACGGAGGGAGGACTTGAAATTGTTTGTTTTGTGTTCTCATAATACCTACCTTGCTTATACATAAATAGCAATTAAGTATCCCTCTTTGGGTTTTCACCTATTCCCCTTTATGGTGCGAGTGTTCTTGGTTGTAATTACCTTTAGTGTATGTATATTCGTTGCAGCATAATGCCCTTCCTTTATTTGTGCATGTTCGGAAATCTATGTCACTGATGTTTGACCTCCACTTTTTCCCCAACAACAGTTTATCTTCTCGTTGGCAACAGATGGCAAAATAAAGGCTTGGTTGTATGACAATGCTGGTTCCAGAGTAGATTATGATGCTCCAGGTCGTTCGTCTACTACTATGGCCTACAGTGCTGATGGAACAAGGTTTGTTAGATAACTCATCTCAAGAATCTTATCCTACTTTCCTTTGCAATTTGTTTGGTACTCAATGCTTTCTGTTGTATTTTGGCTATATTATCATTTTTATAATGCAATGAATTTGCAGGCTGTTTTCATGCGGCACCAACAAAGAAGGGGAGTCATTCCTTGTGGAATGGAATGAAAGTGATGGAGCTGTCAAGCGATCATATGTTGGTATTGGGAAGCGTGCGATAGGAGTTGTGCAATTTGATACTACTAAGAATAGATTTTTGGCAGCTGGTGATGAGTTCAAGGTCAAATTTTGGGACATGGACAATGTGAACTTGTTGACTGCTACTGATGCAGATGGGGGATTACCTGTAAGTATTTTTATGGTGTATTATTTTATGTTTTTGCAACATAAGTTGTTTATACTTGCTGCTGAATTTGTATACTCTGCAGGCATCACCTTGTCTTCGGTTTAGTAAAGAAGGAATGTTATTGGCAGTTTCAACAAGTGAGAGTAGCATCAAAATTTTGGCTAATGCTGATGGTGCTAGGATGTTACGAACAATGGAAAATCGTCCATTTGATGTTTCAAGGGTTGCCTCTGCTACTGTGAAGGTAGGGAGACTGAGTTACTTAAATTCTTCTTTTGTACTCTTTTTGCGTTCAGGAAAGAGATGTCATCAAAAGCTTTCATTTGCATTTCAGCCACCTATGATGGGTAGTTTTGGTGTTCAAAATGCACCTGTTGCACCAAATGCTGTAGATAGAATATCTCCCATGACATCCATTGTCTCGATGGTTAGGCTTTATTGTCATGTATATTTTAGAATATGTGGGAACGGTGAACATTGATGTAGACTATATAATTTGTTATTCACCATTAACACTTGTAGAATGGTGAAAGTCGAAATATGGTTGATGTGAAGCCCAGGATTGCCGATGAATCTACAGAAAAATCTAGGGTTTGGAAGTTGACTGAGATCAATGATCCATCACAGTGCCGCTCTTTGAAACTTCCTGATAATTTGCCAGCTGCTAAGGTGAGGTTATCTATTTCTGTTCAATGTTTATTATTCGGTGTGCCTTGTTTGCTCATCTGTAGATTATTGTCAATCTTTGGTATGACTGAATCACAATTATATTTTTTCTATATACTGAAAACTCATGAAATCTTCTGATTTGCTTTCTTGGTGGTTGCGTCAGATTTCAAGATTGATATATACTAATACAGGAGTTGCCATATTGGCGTTAGCTTCAAATGCTGTGCACAAACTTTGGAAATGGCCTCGGATTGAGAGAAATCCTTCTGGAAAGGTTGTTTGGGGGAGGGGGTACTTCAAGTTCTAACTTTTATTACATAGCTTTTCTACTCTCAGGTCTCTATTAAGTATTAACTTGAGGGACCCTTTCCATTAGTTTGCCTTTTAACTTGTCACTTCTTATAAATTTGCCTTTTGTAGGCAAATGCTAGTATCACTCCTCAACTTTGGCAACCTGCAAGTGGAATATTGATGACCAATGACATCAGTGAGACAACCCCAGAAGAGGCTGTCCCTTGCTTTGCATTGTCAAAGAATGATTCCTATGTCATGTCTGCTTCGGGAGGGAAAATTTCTCTGTTTAATATGATGACTTTTAAGGTAAATGGTTCCTTTGTATTATTCTTCTCTTAAATGTTGTACTTAAGAAAACTAAAAGTAGCCTTCCTTGTCTCAACACCCGTCCTAATTGCTCTTTTTTTGAACTTTGGGGTGTGCATCTGTGCTAGTGTTTTTGTATTTTGTTTCAATTACTATATGTTCTATTCACATCGTTAAGCTAAAATATATGTTGTTAAGTTATTACTGTATTACTTTTTATATACTAATATTATTTAAAACAACTAAAAATAGTTTTCTAATTCCATTCATTTTGGGTTTGTATTTTTATTTTCTTGCTGATTTTAATCCACAAACCATATGTTTTGAATACAGACTATGACGACCTTCATGCCCCCTCCACCTGCAGCTACATTTTTGGCATTCCATCCGCAAGACAACAACATTATAGCCATTGGCATGGAGGATTCCACAATCCAAATATATAATGTCCGAGTTGATGAGGTTATTGCTAGTCTGTGCTCAACTGTATTTTTTGGGAACTTCCAACAGTTTTCACGCTAATCATTGTCATTGCTTTAATTTATTTAATACAGGTGAAGACCAAGCTTAAAGGACATCATAAAAGAATTACTGGACTTGCTTTCTCTAATGCTCTTAATGTACTTGTATCATCCGGAGCTGATTCTCAGGTTTTAATAAAAATCATACTGTAGTTTACGTGGTTCTCGTTGTGTTGCATGGTGAAATTTTGCAACTCCTGATTTGTTAATATGTGTTGATAGCTTTGTGTTTGGAACACTGATGGTTGGGAAAGGCAAACGAGCAAGTGCTTGCAAATTCCAGCAGGGCGTTCGGCTGCTTCACTTGCAGACACGCGTGTCCAATTTCACCAAGATCAAACTCAGTTGCTAGTGGTGCATGAGACACAGATAGCAATATACGAAGCACCCAAACTTGACTGCCGCAGACAGGTAATGGAGTGACTAACTAACTACCACTACTATCTCCCGCTTTTTTGGACATTCCTACTTTTTTTCCTCATTTGACTTATATATATTATATATAATACTTTAATGAATAGTGGGTACCCCGAGAGGCAAGTGCAATCACATATGCGACATATTCATGTGATAGCCAGTCTATATATGTCAGTTTTGAAGATGGGGGTGTAGGTGTTTTAACTGCTACAAATCTTAGATGGAGATGTCGGATATATCCTACCTCATACCTTACTCTTGCTAATCCAAGGTTTGAACAACCAATCTTTCTCCCTCTTCCTTTCTCTATACACACACAAACACTATAACTTTCATCCATAACGTGCTCGCACACAACCCCAAACTTTTTCTTATGTTGATAATTATGTTCATCAGCGTGAGGGTCCATCCGCTAGTAATTGCTGCACACCCATCGGATCCTAATCAGTTTGCACTGGGACTGAGTGATGGTGGTGTGATCGTACTAGAGCCGACCGAGTCTGAAGGCAAGTGGGGAACTATGCCCCCAACTGAAAATGGTGCCGGACCGTCCTCTGCTGCTGCTCCTCCCTGTTCAGATCAACCCCATCGGTGATCTCCCCCCCCACTGTCAGTCCAAGAATAGGAAAAAAAAGGTGTAGATCTACATGCTTTGGACAGGATATTTAGAAGTTATATGTAGGTGCAGAGGAAGAAGAAGTGCACATCAAGGGTGAAAACCTCTTGGTCTGTCCTAGGTCAGGGTCATTTCTTTCTCGTAGGACGCAACACAGTAGGATGGATATATATGGGTATGGTGTAACTTTTAAGGTTCATCAAGGATGCTTTGCTTTGTAGGGCTTCTTCTTCTTATTTTGCCTTTGTCCATGGTCTCTGTAACTTGAGGGTTTTTCTTTTTCAAGGTTTTTGTAAAATCCTGCTCCAAGAATTCTCCCTGCTCAATTGATTTGTTCATTCATTTTGTTTTGCTTTTTTGCATTTAGATATAATAAAAATGCCGTTGCTATATAAATTTGCGCAAAAATGTGTGCAGATTGCAAACGGTTAAGTGCGTAGGGCCTCTGCCCACATACCCTATGTAACTAATGTAAGTCATTTTATTGTCTAATCGATTTGACTGCAAGTAATTCAACCTTTTTCTTTCATAACCTCATTTAATGCCATTGCCCACATACCGGATGTACTTTCCCCCGAAATATATTTTTCTACCTCGAACCTGTAAGATTAGTCTTTTTAAAATAATTTTATTTATGAGTCGATATATATTAATTAAAAGTATAAATTATATATATTTCAAAACTATATCAATAATACTCCCTCTGTCCCAAATTTAATTACAAATTGGGATTTACGAGACAATTTCTTATCTTTTAAAATTATTTTGTTTACATATTTGTATAGAGGTGATAAGAATATTTTATTTTATTGAATAAATAATGAAAATATACAAATAAAAAGTTTCTGAAAAGAGGGAAAAATAAATTGTACGGAGTAATCAAAATTGAGTCAGAAAGAGTGTGATAAGAACATTTTATTTTGTTAAATAATTAATGAAAATTATAAATAAATAGAAGTTATCAAAGTGAAACGATATTTCTAAAATGGGGAAAGTTGTATACTATACTAACTTGTGGTTCAATATCTTTCTTTTGGCTTTCTTTATTGAATAATCCAATTTCGTAAATATTGAATATGAAAATAAAATTTAAAGGAAATGACTTTCTTACGCCGCTTTTCTTCGTTCTTCCTATTTCTTAGCCTTTATTCTTTTGAGTTATAAAAATACATCTGAATGTTTTAGAATTAGAATAATTGGAAGGAGTTGAAAACTGAAAAGAATTGAAATAATTGGAATGAATTGAAAAAAATTGAGTTAGAAAAACTGAAAAGAGCTGGAAATGATGTGAAATTGGAAACAAATTCAATGCCTTTAAAAAAATAAATGTTGAAAGAATTGTTATATTTTATAAATTTTAAGTTTTATTTAAGTAATTCATAATATACTTTTTCATTTTTTAGCAAATTTTATTTTTTCCTATGTCATATTCTTGAAACAAATCATATTAGTAATATTTGTGTAACTTATACTCACTTTTACTTCTTTTTTACTCTTCCGTCCCAAAATGAATTAATACTTTCATTCAACGTGCAAAATCACGTGACTTTAATCTATAAATTAGCATGGGAATAAATAATTAAATTATAAATTTAAAAATTAATCATAAGTTCTACAAAACAAAATGTGAAAAGTATATTTTATTTCATCAAATAATCAATGAAAACATGTAAACTATGTAATTAATTCCTAAGTTTGTACTCATGTCCAAAATAATATTCTTTTTTTATTCGTTCAAAAAAAAATTATAACTATATTTTATTAATTAATAAAAATTTCCACTTTCTTTTATTATTCGCTCCAAATAAATACTCTATCTATCCTATGTCTTTCTTTCTTTTGTTGACATTCCATGCTCTTTGATGCAACATTCTGAAGTTTGACTATTAATATCTTTTTTTAATAATCATGTATTATGAAAATATGATATACCAAAATTGTGTTTCAGAAAAGTCAATATTCAATGTTTTTTTCCCATAATTTATTGTCAAAATTTTAAAATATTTACTACTAATAAAATACATTTCAAAGAAACATAGTTAAGAAATATTTCAAAACAATAACAATAACATTGATAGTAATAATAATATCAATAATAATAATAATTGTAAAATTAACAAATGAAATTTATTTCCAAAGTAAAAATATGACAATCCACGTGCACAAATAGCTTAGTACCCTTAAGAGAGTGTTAAAATCTTACTCTAGATTTTTATCCAAAATGACAGCTTTTCGAACACACTGGACCCGGGACGGCCACTCAAAGAACCAAACTAAAATTATACTCCGGGAGTACATGTATACCGGGATTAAGCCTGTGATTACTCTTTCGAGCCAAGGTGTGAGGCGCCATGGGCATTCCAACTTTTTTTAAGACAACTATTTTCAAGAAAGCCTAGGGAACCAGTTTTTTTAATACCAAAACTGAACTTTGCCTGAAGCTGAAAAGATATTCTAAACAAACGTAAAAAATACAAAATTATTACTACTAGTCATAATGCCAATGCTAAGCGAATAGGAAATATAGAACTGAAAAAAATACAAACCCAAATAATGTATTTACTCAAATTGTAAAATACACTGAGCATTAGCTAAAATTATCACTACCTAATGTTAACCAAACAGGAAATGATGGAACTGAAGAAAAAAACTCAAATACTTCATCTACTCAAATGTACACAATACACATGAGATGAGCAGGCCACCACATACTCATATACAATGGTCCGATTCCACGTGGTCATCGTCTCCGGCCTTGCTTTCCTCTCCTTCGGGTACCACCTGAAGACGACGGGTTAGATTCTACAGACAAAACCGTACCATCTTTCCCATCCGAAACTCCCATCTTAGCTAGACTTTTCTGGGCTTCAATATAAACTTTTATATCTCTGATCTGTCAAAGATAGAATACGATGTTTTACATTTACAAGTTCATAGGAAAAGTTAGGTAGAGATGTGTGAGATCCTCTTCAATCACCTGTTCTTTAAGGTCCTGGATTTGCTCATCCTTTGACTTCAATAAAAGCATTTCCCTGATTAAGAATATCCAAGCAATGAAGGAAATTACAGCAAATGTGTTGACTTCTTATGCTAAAGTTGGTTTTTGTCTAGTTGATATTGAAAGAGAGTAAGAGACATCATCGTTTGTGCATAAGCAGGCACCATTAGATGAAAGTTCCATCTGACCTTTGATAACCTAATGGATGAAATAAACTACTGCACCTTTTTTCCACTTCTTTGTAGTTCTTCTGCAGAAGTTCTTGTTTTTTCATAAGCTCTTGATTTCTCTGACATTTAAAATAACACACATTTCAAGAAAACACGCATTTACATGTGACCTGAGAGAGAGAGAGAGATGCGTGGAAACTCTTATTTTCTACTTGTAATTTTTTACACCACTGTTTGAACAACTTACGTCACTAACAGCCTTCTTCTCCTCCTCACACTTTCCAATTCTGGACTGTAAATCGTGTGTTTTTGAAAAAAGTGCCTTAGCCACTGCTTTAGATATTGAGCTTTCCTTTCCACCTTTCGCCTCAGCTAGCAGAGATTCATAATGCTGAATGAATACAAAGGTAAAAACAAAGCATGGTTGATCAGTTCTATATACAAGCATCTTATCATGTGTCGACAGTGACAAGTAAATCAAGGATCTTATGTGGTTATCTGGACTTCACCTGTCTTTGAGTCTCCAGCTGGCTGGCAAGTAGACGGTTATACTCATCTACGACCTACATTTTTGAAAAAGTCAAACAATGCATAAGGGTGAAAAAATGTAGCAAACAAATTTCTTAAGAAGAAATTTAGAACGTGTTTGCATGCCTGTGTGTGTGTGTAAACTGCGTAGATATTTTATGCAGACTGCCAATGAGTAGAACCATTCAACAAATATACAGAATTTGTTGCGAATAATCCCAGGGTTGTCTGTGTTGGAAATAATAAGCCCTAAGCCCTCAAGAAATTTTACATAACAATCCCAATTCTTTTTACATGCTTCCAAACAACAATACACCCACGCTAACTGGGTTAAGATTGTCGTTCACAATTGATGGTGTGGCCGCAAATGTTTTTACCACCCTTATAGAAAAAAAAATACACCTGTTTGCCATTTTTGAAGGTCACATCTGAATCACCTGCCAAAGACCATAGTTATCACCCCGCCAAGGTGAGGGATGGTGCCAGTGTACCACCAGGATGCCTAATCGACAAGGCAACCGCCAAGGCAAGAATTAGGCAACGAGACAAATGAGAATTTTATTACATTAGTAGCATTAATTTAAATATACACAACACCACCACCACCAACAACAAACCCAGGATAATCCCACACACAGTAGGGTCTAGGGAGGGTGTGTGTGTATCAAAGAAACATATTACAAAAAATCAAAAATATATTAATAAAACAGATTTAAGAAACATTATTAGCAAATAGATTAATATTTGAGAGAAAAATATTGCCTCGATTAATACAAGTTTAAAATCTTTAACAAAAGCGATAGTTTCTTTTTTACGGAGTATTTATAGACAAGAATTTTAGGAGCATTGAAAATGTGATTATCTTTGAAAGAAATACCAAGCCACACCATACAGTAGTCAGCTACACCTCACCGATTTTAAAAAAATACCCGGGTGAAGATTAAACCGCTAAAGAGCAGCTACAGCCACTGGCCTCTAATCCGTGAAAACCGTCGACAGGCGACGACAAGGGACGTAGATAGCGAATCAATCTCCAGCAATATCCCACCAATTCCTGATTAGCATGGGTCTTGTTTTATTTATGAGTATAAAATAATATATATTTTTTCTGAAAGTGGGCTCGTCGTCCCCTTGGTGTCAAGTCGACACCAAATGGTCGCCATGGTGATGCCATGCTCCATCCTGTGAATTCTGGTGAGTTGAGGACCTATGGAAAGACAAGTTCTCTGACAAGATGCCTAGTTGCCACCTAGGCGACGCCTTGTTAACTATGTTAGAGACCAAGGGCGAAAGACGTCAAAAATTTCCTCCCACAGGCAGGAAAAGATGCAACTGCTGTAATGAGTAATCATCCTAGGCCAGTTGAGCCAAGCTTAACTATGTTAGAGACCAAGGGGAATATATGAAATACGTGTCAATTTTTTGTTGTTAGGTGGTGAAGAAAAATTGTTGCCACACCATCAATTTCTAACAGCAACCTTCATCCCATTGGCTTGCGCGTATTGTTGGCAGCCTGCTTGCTAAAAAGTTGGGATTCTTTTGTGAAGTTTCCCAAGATGGGATAATTATTTCAAATTCAGCCAGAGAAGGGTTTATTTGCAACAAATTTTCTCAATAAGTAATTACCGCTTCAACTTTGCTGCTATATAAGGCACCACTGAGACCTGGATCCTGATCATACCCAGTAACACCGGATTCATTGTCAGATGCAACACAGGGAGAAGTCATAGTGACTGGCTTGCCATCAGTCTTCAATTGATTCAATCGCTGAACATATTTGTCCCCTACATAATCCCAGATTTGCTGTTTCTCTAGTTCTAGAGAATAGTGATGCTGTGTATCCCTCCAATGTCTGATGGCATGCCCTTCTACATATCTATGTTAAGTACATTCAAATCCATGTACAGAAATAATTTTAGAGATACAGATCTCCTCATCTCCACTTCAACATACTATTTTCTAAAGGGCACATGCCCAAACAGACACCATAAATCATAAGATGAAGAAAGAACTATTATACCTTCCACATCCAACAAAGCCACAAATCAAGCAGACCCAGAGGTTCGTGGGTGTTTCACATACAGAACAGGTTGGTCTCTCATCCTGCTTCTGACAAAGTCGACAGACCTGTCAAATAAAGCAGTGCGACAATGCAAAATTATATAAGGTGTGCACCAAGAAATACACATTATATAAGTGTGGGATGGAGGGAAACAAAAACAAACATGAGGTAGCATTCTATCAAACCCCACCCCATCCCTTCTCTCTTTCATGTTTCCATTGGCTCAAGGACATAAAGGGTCTTATAGTATAGAAAAATATCCATATTTATTCCTTCACTTATTGTTCAGTCAACTTAATCCTTGTACCATAACAATTACAAACTCCATAACTTATACTCCCTCCGTCGCACTATTTTTGGGACATGAAAGAGTGACACAAAATTAAGAAATACGGAGTATAAGATTGTGTGGTTGATATTAATGTTAAAAAGTAAGATAGAGTAAGAATGATTGTGAATCACACAAATATGCCTAAATACGGTACGGGACAAAAATAGTGGTACGAACAAAAATGGTAAAATGGGACATAAATAGGACTGAGGGCGTAGTTGTTAACCCTTATTGCTGACATATACCAAAATGAATGAAAACTTATATTATCATAGCACCTTCCACTCTTCCTTGGAAAATTGGAAAACATGGATATCCGGCTATAATCCTCCAAACAAGAGAAATATTACTGGGAGAAACAGCATAGTCACTGATATAGCAAAGCACCAGCGGATCAACTATTCTATCATGGATCTCACCTAGAACTTCCTGGTAATCTGGTATTGAAAAGAGCAACCACTCCCATGATGGATTTTCCAATTACAAATCAGGAATTGTTTCCCTCGATACAACCAAAATGTTATGACATGATTTGCTCGACAACCAACCAGTCATTATTTGAGTTTTATTGATGATTAGAACGATTACAGTCAAAAAGCGTGTATTTTTGGAGATGGCAATATCGGGACAATTTCTTGTTAGAACACCAAATAATAAAAAATGAGAAAATGTACTCCCTCCGTCCCAAAGTATTCATTCAGTTTGACCTTTTTGAGATAAACTAGATGAATCTTAATCATCAATTGCATTAAATTGATTTACATATTAATACATCGAAATAAATCTCTAAAAGTTTTCCATTATATAAATCTAATGTAATTGTTTTTGTACTAATATGCAACATAATTTTTATTTAATTGTTGCATTAAATTTGTTTTACATATCGGCAACAACCCAGTTGAATCCCACAAAATTAGGGTTTGGGGAGGGAGTGTGTACGCAGACCGTACCCCTACTCAAAAGTAGAGAGGTTGTACATGTATGTTGTTTGACCCATATGTTTAAAACATAGAGCGGTTATGTCCGGATGACCCATGATGAGCATCGAAAGTTGCATTGACTAACTGCTACTTCACGATTAAAAGAAGCGCAGACAGTTTAAACAGTCATTTTGCTTTATTCTATCATACCCAAAAGCAAAAAAAAGTGAATCTTTGGCTCCATCGGAGATGATGAAAAGAGTTTTACATATCAATGCACTAAAATAAATTTCTAAACTTTTTCCATAAGAAAAATCTAATAAGTTATTTTTGTACTAATATAATACGGAGTACATTTTTATTTAGTTAATGATGACTCCTTGTCCAGTTTGACTCAAAAATGTCAAACTAAACAAATACTCTAGAAGGGAGGTAGCATATATTATTCCCTCTGTCCAAAATTATTCTTCCCACTTTCTTTTTTGGACTGTTAGGAAAATTTTTTCTCATTTTGTTATTTGGTACTCAATAATTGTTTGTATGTAATATTTTATTACCCTTTCCAATATTTTCTCAACCATCCTCCCTACTCCTGACTCAACCCTAATTTTGTTTACTCCTTATTCCCCTTCTCTTCAATTCACCAGTGCTGCCGCCATGGCTGGAGCCGCCATCATCGCCATGGTCATAGCCGCTGCCACCTTCTTCTTCTTTCTTTTTTCAATTCTTCTCTTTCCCTAATCTTCCTCAAATTGCCGAGCTGCCCAAATAAGAACACTAGGATTGGGAGAGAGATTCAAATTGTTTCCGCTGATCATATATCTCGGCTTCTTCGTCTAATTAATCGAATATATCTAGTCTTCAACTCTTCTCCCTCTCTCAAATCCTCTAAAACCCTAATCTATGGAGGAACCCTAATTTTTTGTTTGACTCCATGGGTTCAGAGGACATCTTGTTTCTCTCGGTTATTCCTGAAGCTCCAAATGGCTCTGATGTCCCTACCAGCAAAGAGAGTGACGGAGATGGTGTTGTGACTGGCTGACTGCAGGGGCTGGTCAGCTGGTGGCACAAAGTACAAAATGGGAATAGTGTAGAAGGGTATTTTAGGATATTCAAAGTTATTTTTCTAAATATGCGTGTTGGGTCAACTTGAAAAGTTAATTCGCAGATGGAGGTAGTACTAACTAATTATAAAGACTCTGAATCAATTTGTCATTTTCCTGTGAGTGACCACGCCACTAACAATTGACAAGTCAGCAAGCTTGACTATGAGTCTGACAAACAAACCCAATAAACCCACAAAACATAGGGTCTGGGGTGTGTACGCAAACCTTAACCCTACTTAGTACTAGTAGAGAGACTATTTCTAAGCACCGTAGCAAAGACAAAGTATACACATTCGCACAAACAAAGTAAGATGACATACAAAAGGTGCACACATAACGACACTAGCAACTTAAAACCAAAGAACATAAACACACACGTGCAAGCTACAAACTAAGGCATAAAAACACACCTGCACAAAAAACAAACTATTGAAACTAAGGCCAAAACCTAACTACTCTAATCCTACACATTTAAGTGTTTCTAACTACGTCCATATCCTCGGTAAGATTATGACATCGTAAGTCCTATATAATATCCTGCTTCCAGCTCTTCCTAGATCTACCTCTACCCCTTCCCACAGCCACAACCATATGAAGAGGTGAACACCGGTCCAAAATCGGACAAGAATGGATTCGAACCGGAAAGACCAGAAAACTGGAATGCATATAGGGGTAGGACCAAAAGTTGGACCTGAACAATTTTGATCTATACTGGTCCAGACCGGTTTTTTGGGTAAGTCTAGTTTTAGACCGGAAAATAGTTTTTCATATTTTATTTATTCTTATTTTTATAAGTGATTTCTCAGATGTTTTAAACTCATTTGTCAACAACTTCTTAGCTTGATTCAACTCGACTTTTATTTTCTCTATCCACTGGATGTGTTTCAAGAAAAAATATCATTGGAAAAAATGTTTTCACTATCAATTGACAAGGTTTAAATGACTTTTATTGTGTTGTTTTGTCAGATTTTAAAAATACTAATAAAGTTGCACATTAAAGTTTCTAATATTCTAGTTTAAACATTATACTTCTATAGAAAAGTTTATATAGTTCCAAATTAAATGCTCAATAATGAAAATAAAGGGGAAAAAGAAAGGAATGGATATGGATAACATAATAAATACGGAGTATTAAATTTAAAAGAGCAAATCAAACTAAGAACTAAATAATTGAAACATAAAGTTGTATTTATGACCAAGCATAATAAGCATTAAAAATAAAAAACATGGCTCACATTCCGGTCTCACTCATTTGACCCGGAAACCATCTGGTTTTGGACCTGCCCAAACCGGAATTAAACTGGTCCTCAACCATTGGAACAGAGACCAACCTGGAAATCAACTGGTCTAGCTCAGAATTGATTATTCCAGTCTGGTTGTAATCAGAATACCACTCCGGACCGGATTATGTTCACCCTTAACCACAAGACTCTCAAGTCTTACGGTCCATGTCATGATCTTTGCGTCATAGATTGATACTACGTAGATCCCCGAGTACCTTGGTTGTGGCAGTAACTGCAAACTTAGCTTCCTTACGTCATATACTCATATCTTATTGATCCCCTAACTCCTCATATCTACAATCAATGAACCTCTTAAATGTCATTTTCTTGCTTCCCATGTTCCCTTAAACTACCCCACTCCACCATCGGTCCCCCTGTATGTCAGCTATCATTACCCCTGGCTACGCCTAACACTTCATGAGCAAATTTGACAATGAAAACAGGAAACTGAACTTTAGCTCTGCTTAATTGTTTTGTGTTTCATAGCATAAAGATAAAACTGAGAGTGGGTATTAGAAAAAAAAGACATTTTAATACTACAAGGATTGATTGCTAACTGAAACATGTTTTCATTAAAATAGATAAGGTTCAACTTCAAGACAACTTGAAATATTTAGGAGGCAATGTTGAACTTCCAAGCTTGAAAGTCTGCTAAGTCCGAGATTTGTTTTGAATAGAGGGGAGAACAAGATACATCTCCAGCATTACTTATGATACATGTAAAACAAGAAATTAGTGCATAATATAAAGCACCAACTTATATTTTTATGGAAAAACTAACCTGGCATGAAGAGTAGGTCCATTTTGAAACACAAGAACATTGAAATGAATGGTCGCAAAATGTAGTCTGTATTCCACTTGTCTCTTGGTCCAGTCTTTCTGTAAGTTTTAAGATCGCAATGAGAAGTGAATATTACTAAAAAAAACTCTGGGTTTACAAATTCATAGCAAAATCCAAGTCTACTGACCAAGACAAACTGGACAAGTGGGCAATTCAGTATAACCCGGCGGAGGTGTGCTGGCTATTTCTGCTGATTCTGTGCATTCCACTGATTGAGTAAAATAAATGTGGCAAACCTCACGCTAGATAGTCAAAACAGCATGAATGTTAATACAACACAAATTGATAGAACAAAGTAACTCTTTAAGAGTAATCAATACCTCTGTCTGCTTAAATCTTCTACCATTGTAATTACAATAGAATCCATCTGCAGCTAATTGATTCACCAATGTTATCAACACACTAAATCTATCCTCCATTACATCATTCCTGCACATTTAATAATCCAGTAGGCATTAGTGCACCTAAGTATATTTTAGAGGCGAATAAATCACACCTCCGAATCATACTTCCACACCGATTATGTACATAGCTTACCCTGTGCTAGAAATGTAAAGTAGGCTGCCGTCACAAACTAAAAAATGTACAACACATGGATACACATTCCAAGATTTTATATTTGCTTCAAATAACCACCCTTTCCCCGAATTACATGACTTAGTGCGTATTATTTTCGAGTTTTCAAGAAATGTCTATGGGTGATTATGACAAGTCTCGCAAATTCAGCAGAGAAATAGCTCAGGGTGCCCCTGGGTCAACTCATTACCTGAGGAAGAGGACTCCTGTGAATTGCTCGACATGGGACCCACAAAAGAGGAGAAAGTCAGCGGCTGATAAGCTACTAGGAACAGCAACGACAAATAGGGCGGTCGTGCGGGCGGTCGGGTTAGCGATACCGGTGAGCGCGGTGGCGTAGGTGGCGGATGCCGACGGGGGAAGGTGTCGGAAGAGGTGCGCAACGCCCCGTTGCTCCAAAGGGTTCAGGCTGCCAAAATTGTCTGGGGGATTTGAGACGCAGGCGGCCGATGTGGCGGCGGAAAGCGGTTGAGGAAATTCGACGGAGTGGATTTGGAGAGCGAACATCGTGAGGTATTAAGCCATACTCACTCGATCAGTCGCGAATGTCACGAAGGTTCATAGAGAATGCATTCACATACTCCTTCCGTCTTTCAATTTTTCTTTTCAGCATTCTTCTAAGTTGTTTGTGGACGAAGCTTCTTAGACACGGTCACACGGGTATCTTTGAGACTAGGGGTGATAAAAAATTAACCGGACAGACCGCGAAACCGAAAACCAAAAACCGAAATAACCGGAAGTTCGGTTTCGGTTTCGGTTTCGGTTTTCATGTAAAAATTATTTTCGGTTTTTTCGGTTTTTCGGTCGGTTTCGGTTTTTTGTAAGAAAAACTGAACCGACCGAATAACCGATGATTCTATTTTAATTTATTTTTTATTTTTTAAAATAAGAAAATATTTGATTAACACACATGCTTTCTTTTTACTCTTTCATGGAAAACTATAATGTTTCACTTTTAAAAAATTTATTTGTTAATGTTTTGAACATATTAATAAGAAAAGTGCAATTTTTATATGAAATGGATAGTGTAAATTCAAAAAAAAATTAATCTACCTTACTAAATCAATGACAATAGAAAAGTTTTAATTTAAACTAATTTAATACACATCAATCTACCTTTCCAAATTAGTTTCTTGAATTTATATTAAAAAATCAAAATAAAAGTAATTAGAATTCGGTTTTTCGGTCGGTTTTTTTTATGTATGGGCGGTTTTCGGTTTCGGTTCGGTCGGTTTTGATTTATGGTCGGTTCGGTTCGGTCGGTTTTCAACTATGTTAAAAAAAGTCGGTTTTTTAGGTTTCAGACCGAAACCGACCGAAACCGACCGTTGCTCAGCCCTATTTGAGACTTTATGTTTAATTTTTTATAATCTATGGATCATTTAGAATTTATTGATTGTTTTGGATCCACATAAAGTTGAATTGATATTTTTAAAATACGGAGTATGTAGACTCTTCTTATTTTAATACGGAATATTTGATTGTAAAATGGATTGTGACACTATCCGTCAGTTCATCTTTTTCCTTGATTCTTCATACAATGATAAGGAATTTGAACATCTAGAGTCTACTCTTCGCACAAGCTGTCTAGCCACGTTCTAACAACTAGTTTCAAGAAAGAACCAACACCTAATTGAAATGATAATTCGGACATACTTCAAACCGTTTAGAGAGAAAAAAATAGTTGGATCAATAATCAAACCCATTAAACCGGAAACAATTTCATGAATAGGCACTCACATGTGAGTGTGAAAAATTGGATAGAAGAATTGCAAAAATGAGATTAGGGTTTTGTAACATTTGAGACACACCAGTTCGGCAGTTCGTAGCCTGGTGTCAAGCTCTGTATGCTGAGGTAGCTTTTTCCATTTTCCATGGCCTGATTTCTCAAAATGCATAGGTTCGTAGAGAGATTTGTGTTAATGATTTTTATTCTAAAACGTTTCACAATCCATTATTTATAAAAATCTTAGAAAATCTATTGAATTTTTAATACCATTAGATTTAGATGGATATTTAGAATTCGCAATTAAATACATTAGAATTTTAAAATACTCTTTAAAATCCTAATTGGATACCTATAGAATTTTAGAATACAAAAATTTTTATAGAGTCTATGTTGAATATACTCCCTTATTATGAAGCAACGTATTATTGTTTATTTTTCACACATTTACTTATTACAATTATTATATTCATTTACAAACAATATAATATTCAGTCTAAAATAGCGTAGTTTTACTCCATGTTTGCTCATTCTGAAACAATGTAGTATTCTTCGTCAAACAACACAATGCTCATTACGAAGGAACTTAGTGTTCATTGTGCCTTCTTCGTAAAAATATCAGATTCATCATCTTTCCCAAACATATCTAGGGGTTTGAGGAAGAGTTTCCTCCTCGATCTAGTAGTTTTTTTCATGCCACAACACCTCTAGTATGAATTCCTACTCATTTGGTGTTCTTAATAATTGTATAGACCAATTTGCTTCTTTTAGCTATAAGTATTATCTCAATCTTTTGAGGCACCGTTCTGTTCAAATTTTTTATCTAATCTGATTTTTGTAGTTCTGATATAATTTTATTTGATTGGATCTGATTAATTATGATTTGATTTAAAATTAAAATTAATAATTTGATGCGACTTTATAATAAGTTTTGAAAATTTTAATGATAATTCATACTACATCCGTTTCTTAAAAGAGTTCATCTTTTGACTTTGGGGGAAAATAAGGAAGTGTTAAATTGTAGTTGACTTTCCAATTTTGCCCTCGATGTGATGGGTAAAAGTAAGATATGATAGTTTAGTTGTTAGTGAAAAAGTATGATGTGATAGGTAGGGTATGAAAAAGTAGGTGTAAAAGTGGTTTTTTAATAGAAGGGGGAAGTGTTTTAAGAAAAACAAAAAAATGAAAGAGGAAGGGTTTTAAAAAACGGAGGGAGTATTATAATATACTCCGTATTCAATATTTTTTATTTTATGATTATTTATACTAAAATATACTCCATATATGAATATCAAATGTTAATAGTACAGAATTTTATTTACACTAAAACATACTCGTACTTCGTTAGTTTGGCCTTGTAAATAGTACAGAATTTTATTCTTTTAATTTTTGTCTCAAGTCAAACGTGAGCGTTTATGCACGACCGATAGAGTATAAAATATGTCCATGTTCATCGATAAAGAGACATGTTTTTGTGAACTTTTTCTTTGATTCATAACTTATCATTGAAAGTGTTTGAAAATGAAAAAAAGGTCGCTTTCATAATTCTAATACAAAATGGCATGAGTCTATGTTTGCAGGTTGAATGAAATCGCATGAGGTAGAATTGAATTGCAATTGGTCAAAAGGGATGATTTTTAATACTCCCATCCTTTGCACTTGAATTTTTATATATACTGTCTACATTGTCAAATTTTATATACTTTGTTTCCTCATTTTTGTTAATTTTGTAGATTTTTTAACATAATTTTTAAATATATAATTTTTATTTTTAAATTTTTCACCAACAATCAAATAAATTAAATTAAAAATAATGTTGGTCAACTAAGTCACCGCCGCCGGTCTCTCTATCTCTCTTTCATCAACAGTGGACCACCAAGACATGACAACCTTGTCTGACCCCCTTGCCTCTTTTCCTCATAAAGTGAAATTTCTACTTCGTAATCTCTACAATCTCACCCGCGAAAAACTCACAGATACAAACTACCATGAATGGTATCTCATTGTCATTACTATTCTCGATTGGCATACAAGTTCCTCTTTGAAAATCATTGTGATGGTGTTGTGGATGAAAGCTGGATAGTAGAATTCAGTTTTTGATTGTTTTCTTCCCTTAAACATATTGGGGAAGTGAATCTCTCATTTATCTGCTTGGTTTTTTTCTTTCCATTTTTGAATGGGGTGACTTTAGAGGCTTTCACTTCAACCCACCTCATGATTTAAAATTCACTGGTAGATATAGGATTCCTCTCAAATTTACATTGCAGTACGACTTCTCAAGCTAAAGATGAGAGAAGTGAAAACTTCAAATTTGTTAATTTGTTACACGGCCCCTTAAAATTTAGGACATCATATTTTTAAATTTGTTACATAATTTTATAGCAAAAGTATTTTAAAAATATAAAATAAGGCACAAAATGTAAATTTCGGACCGGACCAATTTTATTTTTCATTTTTCGGGGCCGGCTTATGTGACGTATGTCTACGATGATGGACATACACCCACTGGATTTAGCTTCGCACAACAAACTAGGCTAGGCACCAACACAAACTAGGCCACCTACCAGTTAAGTTAGCTCAGCACATATGTTTACATACATGCCAAAACACACATGCATAAAATATGCATACCAAGTGGTAGTAATTTAGTTTTACATGTTAGTTCCAGAAGAGCAACAATACAAAACAGGTGAACAGATGATGATTTACTACATACAAATAAGATTAATACTCCATGTCCACCACGGCAGGAGCAGGATCTTGGTGTTTTCTCATCCAAGAAAACGTTCTTCCAACGGATTAAGCGCATCCAACAAGGGACGTTCTTCCAACCAGAAACGGTGGAAAGGTTCAAATTGAATGTTATCCGCTCCTGCCAGATGTGATGAGAAATCGTCAAGATTGCAGTCTGACATGCCCTGCATCCATCCATGCAGTAGGAGTACATATAGTCGTAATTAAACACAAACACGACATGCAACAAAGAGCCCTTATTAGCATTTGCATAGCACAAACAAACAAACAAACAATCTCCATCTTGATCAACAAACACAGTTATAATAATACTCCTTAGCATATAAGGAGTCAAAGTAAAGCCATACCCTATCTCGAACCGATGCAGAGACATCAACTGTCGAGATCCTTTTATTGAAAACTCCATCCTTGCCCAGATGAGCAAACTTGATGCGAACAGCTTGGTTATCCTCCTGAGCAATTGGGCACAAGGTGAACCTGCTGCACGTCGCAAATCACAACCAAAATATGTCACCACACAGATGAAAACCACTTAATCAAATCAAATAATAAAAAATGCCTCACATACCACACCCGAGGAGACTCGCTGTTGCTCATCTTCGTATCCATCTAGCTCCTGACAAGGCCACTCCAACCAAGTATTATTAGTTAGCAAAAAAGTAATTATACACCTATATAGAAGTAAACCACAAACTATACTCCTATATATCTCTAGATCAATTTCATTTTAATTTCATCAATTTTGTAACTTCATCTCAAAATAAGTTTAGGGTTTGTTAAGTAGATCTCAACAATATTGTGACAGAGGAGTATGCCTGTATATGTCATGATCGATGATATCAGAATGATGTTGTCCGGTATAATGTTTTGGAGGAATATTTTACCAGGTTTAAGAATTATCCCTCAATAGACTACTAATCTTTCCAAATATTTTACCTAAACCTAAAATTCCCCATCTTTTTTTGTTTAACTACTGGGAAAGAGTAACAGCATCTGTGTTCATCTTCATCCATCAAGCCAACAGTTGATGGCTTCACATCAAAGGATACCCTAAAAGGTATGAACTTTAAATTCTACCCCCAAGTTTTGACTGATGAGCTCAAACCTTGCAGTGATGGATTGATTGATTTATCTAATCATTGCTATTAAGATACAAAAAAAATAGACTCTTGGTATATTAAGTTTCTTTTGTTTGATATGGAATGAAACAACAACAATTTTATTATCTTCATCAACCAAAATCCAATTTACTTCTATCCACCAAACCCCGCAGGTTGAAACCCAAAATGCAGTTGAAATTCATGGAAAAATCAGCACAAAAACAAGGCTTCAAAGGTAAACCCAAAGGTTGCTGCCAAACAAAGGCATGTAATCATATTGAGAGAAATTTAAGCAAAGTGCATAACATGTGTAAATCTAAACGCACACACACAGACACAAAAACCCTAAATAGATCTAGATTACCCCCCGTAAAAGAGCATTCTAACTATCGAAGAAAAAAACCAAAACTCGCCTGAATCTGGGAGAATAAAGAAGCTGATTTGAAGTTGATTTCTGTGGTATGACTCTAGCCGGATGTGGGAGCACGGGGCAGCCAACGTCTAAGCGCTAATCTACGAAGGGGCAACCCTAATACCCTATTGGATTTCATATATAGGCACCCATGATGTTGACGCGTTTTCTACTCCGATCAGGATTAAGGACGAAAGCCCCGTTCCGTTCTAACTTACCCTTTGTTTTCTTCTTCTTGGGCGGCCTAGGGGGCGTTTGGTTCACGCTGAAAACAGGGAAAGGAAACAGGAAAGGGAATTAGGGGAAGCGGAATGATTACCCCTAAATTACTTTGTTTGTTTGGTTCAGTACAGGAAAGGAAATAGAATTCCCTTTCTTCGTGTTTGGTTCAAAACATGGGAATCAAATTTTTTTAAATAGCTATGATTAATTTGTTAAAAATAATACTTACGGAGTATTTATTTTATCAAACATACAATTAAACAAAATTCGGGATCATTTCTTATTTTCGTTTATTATTCTTTGGTTCTTCCCTTTTTTAAAATATTTTCTATCTCTTTTTATTTTTCCTAGATTTTTTAAAATATATTTTCAATTTTTTATAATGTTTCAAAAATTTTAATATTTTTGTTTGAAATAAAAGTAAAAATAAAAAAATTAACATACATTAAATCTATCTCAAATTAAATATTTTTACTTTTTGTTGCTTAGAATAATTTTTTGGAAAGTTAAAAAAACCTAGAATAAAAAAATAAAAATATTGAAAAACGAAATGAAAAAAATTAAAAAACGCAAAAAAACTCTTATACAAAAAAAAATTAGACACGCCTAAAAAAGTCTTTAGAATTAATATGTCCAAAAAGGATATTCACTTTTATTTTTGTATTATTTTGTTTCTTGTTTTATTCCTCATTTTCTTGAAGCTTTCAAAAAAAATTATTTTTTTAAGAAAAAACAAAAATTATTAATTTGAGAAGTACATATGCATTATATGTTGATTTTTTCTAATAAAAGTAACTTTAAAGTGTAAGAAATATTATAAAAATAATTTTAAAAGAACCTTTATGAATAAATGAAACAAAAAAGTTAAAAATGGGAAAAAAATATGGAAGAAATAAAATCAGCACTGATACCCCCTATGGTTTAAAAAACATGCACCAATGCCCCCTTCTTCGCTGGAAAAATGGCCGAAAAATGATCGGAGGGGACACGGGTGCAACATTTTGAAACCATAGGGACTTAAGAAATAAGTTTCGAAAATAGAAGGGGTATTGGTGGTTGTTTTGCAAACCACGGGAGTACAAGCGCTATTTGGCCGTGAAAGATTGTAGTAGTATTGTAGCAACAAAGATGAACATAATCCAATCACAATCCTAATTGATTTTTTAGGCATTGCGATGTTCATGACTTTAAATTAGGTGATTGTAATGCTTTTCATGGATGATGGGTGTGATTACAAAAATTGAGTTTTTTTTAGTGAAAAATCAAAATCATACTTATTAAAGTCAAGAGTCAAAAAAATAGTAGATTCAAAAGCATCAACATAAGTTCGAAATTGGTCAAAAATTAGTCCATATATATTGAATTATAAGAGTTACAATAGAGGGAAAACTAATGACCCAGCAAAAAATTAATAAACTAAAGTTTGAATTTATAAGTTTATTCGAAGTTTTACAATCGTGGAATAGATCAAGATCTTGAAGAACTGGAATGCAACAAACTGTTTCAATAAAGCGAGGTAGCGTAGCTTTCCTAAAGTGTGAAAGAGTGTTCGAGACGTACAGTCTTGATGGTAGAATTAACAAAAGAAAATAGAGAACGCGCAAGACCTACCAAGATGCAAAAAAGATGAAGGAGAATGGAGTCATCGGAGCTCTCCTAAAGGTAGTAACTTCAACTTAACGTACCAGTTAACGTGGAAGCTCCCTCTTAGGATAAAACTGTTAATGCACAACATCATTGTATTGACAGAAGTTGTGCGGTTGAATGAACTATTGCTGAAATGTTCATCGACTAGAGGGAATGCTTGCAAGAAATACAATGTAATCTCACTATTTAACTCACACCTAAGATGTTACTGAAATTGTAATGTAGTGTTCAACATTAGAGAGAGTGCCTCACTAAATAGGCCTAACGAGGCATTTCAAATTCCATAACCATTAGACATCAAAGCTACTAAGGGCGTGTTAATGGTATTTAATTATCATTAACACATCCCTTACGATACATTTCTATTCAAATTCCATTCTATTAAAATTGGAAATTAATGGTGAGTAAACTTTATGAGAAGAGGAATTAAATTGGACACTCCATATAAAACACTAGAAGGTTGGACAAAAAAGAATAACATCATCGCCTAGAGACCAAAAATGGAGTCAAGATAGTTCACCCAAATGCCAGGAGCTGAGCTTAGAGCTTGGCGTCTGATGCCCAAAGCTTACGTCTGCATCACACGCACATTGTAACGTGTCTTGTTATACCGAACCACACACAGGATGGAGGAGGTGGTGGTGTGTGTAAGCTTCTTTTATAACCCCTATAAAAGATTTTATTAAGCACATCAATGCTCCCATATTTAGTTTACAGGATTTATGGGGGCAAGTTTCCCATATTTGACAACTTTCAACATAAACTCAATGCTTTCTTCTACTCAACGCGTCTATTTTGGAAGTCAATTTAGATTCAGTATTTTTCATTCATTAAAACTTCTAGGTAAAGAGCTGGGTGTATTCACCTATTAATAATTTTTGGTTTATAATATATCAACATGTTAGTCTCACTTAGGAAAACAAACGTCCATTAATTAGTTGTCAAAACAGTTCACACAATTCATGATTAAACTTGAAAGTGACTTTTTAAATTTTAATTAAACACAATTTTTCAACAATCTCCTACATGAAAGAAAAATTGATTCAAGGGTCAATGACAACCCATAGTTGAAAGCATCCAAAGGACAGATGAGTGTATATACCTTTTCTTAAGGAACCTTCTTTGAAGGGTGTTCAATAGAGCGCAGTTCCTTTAAACTCTATTGTCGATAAATGGTAGTTTACCATACATAGGTTCCAACCATATGTCATTATATTCTCATGGTTGTGTCTATTTTAGTTGTGAGACACAAATTTGGTTTTGCAAGAGTGTGCATAGGATTGATCCTTGAATCCTCTGTTTGAAGCGACCATATCACTCTTACATATGTGATTCTTCTAAGAAATCTACATGATTATCCTTTAAATTTGCATAAGCAGTTTTAATAATCTTAATTGTGAAAGGTTGTCTAATGATGTTATGTGTACGATGAATGTGTCTAGACTTGTTATTATATATTTTCTCTTTGTACGTCATTTTCTCTCGATGGTCAGATTTTGATCTTTCTCATCTCAACAAATATTTCAAAATCGTAGTTATATCGCAACAAAAAAATTAAAGAAGTGATAATAGGAGGAATGATTAGCAATACCCATACCTAAAATCATATGTTAACATATATTTCTCTTGAACACGAGAAACAAAGACAATCTAAGAGAGAACCTCAACGAGTTGAACACAAAGCAAAGTATTTCATCTTTTTGCGTGGTCAAGATTAAAGTTAGAGTATTTCACTCTAACATATCTTCAGTTGAAGAAAATGCATTAATTGTCGTCTTCATGGTTAAAAAAGGATCATCGATTTCACTTGTGGTGTTAAAGATTGACTGCTTGTTAATTTTTACACTTTAATTAAAGGATGGTTTAGTGGCAAATAAAGACATATGTTATATGTTTGCCTAGAATTAAAACAAATACATAAGAGGCAATATGTGAAGGACTAAATGGAAGTAGAAATTTAGAAAATAGGTGAGAAGAATGATAATACTAAGTTGAATTATAGGAGAAGCTAACACTCTTTATTCACCTTAGAACTTAGACTATGTTCTCTTCACATGATTTAAATGGTTCTGATTTGATTGGAATAAGTTCTAACCTGATCTGGTATGATTTGATTTAAATGAAGTTATATTTAAAGCTATTTCTAATCTGATCTGATCTCATCTGGTCTGATCTAATGTAAACTGATCTGATTCTAATAAGAAAAAGTACTCCCTCCGTCCACCTAAGATCTTCTCATTACGCGTTGTGAGGCTTGACCGACTTTATTTTCAATTTAATTTAATTGATTATAGGAGTAAAATTTTAAAATAAAATTTATATAGTAATAAACTACATGAAAAGTTCTACAAAACTAGAGGTGACAAGACTATATTATTTTACGAAATGACTAGTAAAAATGAACGAACAAAGTGAGTCAAATTTGACCCTGTGAATAGTATCTGAGAAGATCTATGGTGGACAGAGAGAGTAATAAGTAATAAGAATAAGTTGAAGAGAACATGACCTTAACATTTAGTCTTATACTCCGTACAATATAATCAGAACTGAGGTATAAAACAAGGCTCTTAAATATGCACTCCCAATTGCCAATTTAAGAGAAACAAAAGAGATAAAATGATTAACTTTATATGAAGAAAAGATAAATTAAAGTGTGAATAAACACACTTAATTCCACGTGCCACTTTAGCCTAGGCTTTACAGAAAGTACTTGGGCACATTATTAGCTAAATAATGACAAACAAATGACAAATGATGGTAGAGAAATCATACACCACTTGCTCCATTAATTGGAAATAATATGATACGCATAATTAATTAGAATATTTTAATTCGTTATATTATTATTTAGTAGTAGTTATTTATTACTCCGTATTATTTAGTAATATTCTATATATTAGGGTTTTTATATGGGCCCAAGCCCATTAGGTCGTGTAGGTGGGCGTTTCATTGTTATATATTGTAATCCCGTATCATTATCAATCAATCAATAATCAAGAATTCTCTTAATCTCTCGTCTTTCTTTAAGTTTTTCACCTTTCTCTATCCATTCTTCTTGGAACTTGAAGAACGCTCGAAGTTCCTCTCTATCCGATACGACATTCTAATTAACTATCCGTATCATGATATTTTGGTGAGTGATGTATGGACATAAAGTCGACATTTTTTTGTGCTTTTAATGTGTTAGTTTCGGCATATTCATTTGTAAATTTTATTTTCCCCTTGATTTTTGGCGAACATGTAGGCAAAATGGCAAATAGGCCAAGAACGAATGATTTGATCTTGTAAAATGAATCATTATCAAAATCTTTACTAAGTTTGTATTCCTTGTATCTTTTTTACTCCAAAAGATCGGCCCACCTTAAGAATATTTAGGGAGTAGTTTTGTTTTATTTATTATGATAATAATAATAATAATAATAATAATAATAATAATAATAATAATAATAATAATTATAATAATAATAACAACCACAACAACAACAACAACAATAAGTTCGATTTTGACTAGTCCTGGAAAATATGATATGTAAAATTCAGTCAAAATGTTTCTTGTGAAAAGGTCAAGATAGTAGGCCTCAAAACACACACCGATCACTAAGCTCGAATTGTGCCCAAGTTCTTAAAAATAAAATGTTACCTCGAGTAACATTTTTGTTTAAATCTTCCAATGTAGCAAAGTCTTAGTCATGTTGCACCAGAACCATTCCACATGGCTTGAGTCCTAGATAAACGAAGTATCCCTAGGACTTCAATTTGGGAGATCCAAACTAGGAAATGACAAGGCAACGCACATGATCACGACCCAATTTTTTTCTTCTGGGTCTTCAATTTAAAGAATTCCATCCCTTTTTTACTTTCACGTGACCAATGATGCTCAAATCCAAAACTCTAACCTTGAATTCTTCAAGATTTGAATTGCCCAAAGGTTTGTTCTCCCTATTTGACCATCCTCCATATTTTTAAATAAGTTGCTTGAGAAACAAGAGCATCGTATTCTCTCCAAACTAGAACCCAAATATGAACAGACTTGAATCACTTGAGGAATCACTTGGTCAATTTTTTTCTAAGGGAATGCATGTTTTGAAATACTACCCATCAAGTTTTCATTCAAAACATTTTGACATATAAAGGAACTCTTACACCTACAGCTTTCAAAAGAAAGAATTAATGACAAGTCGCAATCTCAAAGAAAGTTTTGAAGGTCAGGTCTAAGTTGAGTCAATAGTCAAAGAGACTCATGAAGTGCATCTTTTGCTACCAAATCAACAAAAACAAAATCCTACCCAAAAAGAGACTAACTCCAGCTTGCTTCAATGACCATTTCAAACTTTCCTAACCAAAAACAGTATCAAGCGTCTAAATCACCCCAAATCAACCAGCCAGGTTTTTTGGTACTTGAGAAGGGAACATAATCCCAAGCCAGGTTTTATCTTCCACTTACCAAATTATACACAAACCTATTATATGCCATTTAGTACGTTTCGTTTCGTATTTCAACTAACAGATGTTGAGCAAGTTCTTAACATTTATTTACACAATTAATAGTATTATTAGTACAAAAAAATGTACCATGAGTGAAATCAAAAGATCCCCCGCTTACAATCTATAGAATTGTTTGATCATCAAATAGCCACAACACAAATCTACTAATATACAAAGCAAATGGGAGAAAATGAATAGTGTTTTTTCCCGCCTAAGTATTTCGGTTTTGGATTGGGTGCAAATCTTTGGTCATCGGGTATGGGCAGATTTGGTTAAATAAAATGAGTAATTTTATAGAAGGTCGTAAAAACATAATGACTTTTGCCTTGGAGTGTGTGCTTAGGCAGTTTTTGGGCGGCTGCTTTATGGGCAAACTAAAGTCATTATTGGAAGTTGTGAGGGATTATGGCCTTTGGGCTTCTACCAATTGGCTTGCATGTTCTCTCTTTTCACTGGACACCATAGGGATAATACTTTAGAGATTTGCAAATTTTTGGAGCTCCGTGCCATCTTTAATATGGGCTTGGAAGTTGTGCGGGCGGCTGTGGAGCACGATTAATCCATTGAGGGACGTGTTATATCTTTTGCACATCATCATATTGTAATTTCTACCTATATATACATTGGTATTTGATTCAAAATTCACACCTCTCAACACAATTTACATGCAACAAAAAAATTTAAAAATATGGTCCGTCATAGTTCATATCTTCCATGATGAAGGAAGGCAACATTATTTGCACAATGCCTTCCAAAATTAATGCATTTGGATTCACCAAAGGTAAGTTGTATTCTATATCTTCTTGAAATAGTAAGTCAATCAAAACATATCACAATTCAACTCTTTATTATGAAGCAGGATATTGAAGCAAGATCCAAGCCCAGATTGAGTGGTTACAAATGCTCTTACATCAATCTAGACTCAACATAGCACAAATGCACAAGGAAGTCTCTCCACATTATTTTCTTGGTAAAAAAAAAACAGAGTTTGTCTCCTCAATGTTAAAAAGTTAGCATTATAAATTATTTCAAAAACAACTAGGTGCAAATAAAAAAGCAATGAATATGTTCAAAAAAAACTTCACGGGGTGCTCCATATGAGTAGAAAATATGAAGTATTTGATTATATAGAGTAAAATGTTTACACCTTACAGAAAATGCTATTAGATCGTATTTCAAAAAAATATTCCAATTTTAAAACCCAAAATGGAACAGAGTATAATTTTTTTAATGCATGTGTTTCTTATTGTGTTTAAAAATAAGCCTATTGATAATGTCATGAAATAATAGTTCATAATTTCAAAAAAAAAGAAGAGTGGAAGATGGGTAATTTCCAGAAACTAGAAGCAGAAAACACATCTCAAAACTTTGCACATATATCATATATACTTAAAGTTGTGTGCAATTTACATTATCGGATCTGACAAGAAGTGTGCGATTATATATGAAACACTTACCATTCACCAGCGATTACCTCCGATCATCTACAACGTCATAGTAGATTAAAGAGTACATGTCGTTGTTGGGGTAAAGATGAGAAATAGAAACCTTTTTCCGACCGTTACGGCTGGCGGCAGAGATCGGCCCATCTGAATCCCACGATGGAGTACGAAACCCTAAAGAGAGATTGAGGAGAATGATATGAGCGATTAGTTTGGGGAATGGGATTTGGGGCTGTGGTGATTAAAGAGATTTAGTGGGTTGGCCTGACTCATCCTTAGTACGGAGTACATGGTAGTTTTTTTATCTTTCGAATTTTATTTTTTACTCTATGAATAAAATTTTTATTATCTACCAAGTATTTGAAAAAAATGCCAAAATTTAAAATTTTTAATACTTATATTTACGTATTAGAGTGTTTAGATATCCATACTTCGACATTATTATTATTTTCATTTTCATTCCTAACACATAATTGAGTATATTATATTACCAAATGTTGTTTCCTAAATATTATCACGTAACAATGGGCAATGCTAGGAGTGTACACCAACATGGGGTACCCCAAGTGTACACCAAGGCAACACAGACACACACGGACACAAAGTGTCTGTGCAACACAAACACTTTGTGTCTGTGTGTGTCTGTGTTGGCTTGGTGTACACTTGGGGTACCCCAATGTTGGTGTACCCCTAGCTTAATTCCGTAACAATAACATGTACATCATGCCTAGATACTACGGGGTGGGATATTTTGTTTGACCCTATTTGCAAAATGAAAAATGATTCAGAACCTTTATGTTTTCGAGAAAAAGAAAAATGAAAAAGCAAAAGTTTGAAAAATGCATGCTTTATGTTTTCGAGAATTGACAAAAAGAAATGTGTGGTTCAAGGCAATCTTTATGTCTAATCGAATAAAAAAAAATTTTATAAATATATGCATTTAACATGGAGAGTAGCATGTGTAGTCATAAAACCATGTGCTTCATTATTTTTCTTTATGAAAAAACGAGCAAGAAAAGCTTCAAATGAGTGTAATAGATGAAATTCAATGGAAAACGTGGGTCTTGAGCCCGAGCCATTTAATGCAAGTCATTTCGAATATGACTTAAAGTATTAAGAATTAATTATTTGTTTTGAGCCACACAGCCAAACTCACATTAATGGTGTAAACAATTTTCAAATTTGTTAGACATATCAAGTAGTATTGATATACGAAACATTAAATGAACAAACCCTTAAATGGCTTAAAGTAGAAGCAATTAATTATTTGCTTTGAGCAACACACCCAAACCCATTTTAATGGTGTAACCATTTTTTCAAATTTGTTCAACATGTCAATGAGCATTGATATACGAAGCATTAAATGAACAAGCCACTTTGGATATGACTTAAAGTAAAAGCAATTGATTATTTACTTTGAGCCACACATCCAAACCAACAGTAATGGTGTAAACAATTTTCAACTTTGTTGGACATTTAATGGAGTATTGATACACGAAGTGTTAAATGCACAAGCCGTCAATAAAAGAAAGGGTGCATCTTATGGCATTTAATGAGGGCATCCATTGAAAATCGAAGATATTTGAATGAAGTGTCATTTAAAGGGTCCCTAACTAACCATTTAATAGTATTTACAACACCTAATTACTCTCACACAACTACCCCTCCCTTTCAAATATAACAAGGAATGTAGCGTACAAAGAAATTTTTCAGAACTTTAATTTAGTTTTTTTGTCTTCACTATTACGGAGTAATTCCTCAATATTAGTATGTAATGTTTTTAATCTTTATATTGAATTCAATTTATTTCAATGTCTTTTTATACACTATAAATTTAATATATTATTTTTTTACTATCTCAAAATACTGACCGTGCAACGCACGGGTTAGAGATCTAGTAGCAAGAATAGTAACAATAATAATTGAACACCCCATTGTATTGTCGTGGCGAAGAACACGTTTGGCAGGATGATATGTAAACCTGCATCACCTAGTTACTCACCCATCAACAATGTTGCGGCAACTCTCTTCAAAGATTCACTTGCTTTCATCATATCAGATTCTGAATGACCGGCAGAGACAAACAGCCTGATTCCCACAGGCAAGTTGCATTTGTCCAGCATTGATCTTTTAGAGGTCGCAACAAAAACTGAGTATTCCTTCAACACCTGCAACCCACAAATGAATAATTTTTCTAAAAAAGAGCTAAGCAGGAGAAAACCCTGGACCTAGTACCTATGCCGGGGTTAAGCAGGCTCCATTCTGGAAAAATATAAAGGCAGCCAAAAGAACGTCTAGGGCGTATGTGGGGACTAGATGGGGACATATAAAGTAGTTAATTCGATAGACAAGAACATTTGGGCCTAGAACACACACACACACACACAATTGGGCATGAATACAGTACTTACACGATCAGCAATATCCTCTAGCACTTGTAGGTCACTCTTCAAAGAACCAGTGGACTTCTTAAGTATGAGGAATACAATCGGAGAAAGTGGATCACTTACTAAATCAAGACCTTTTATATCGGATAAACCTGCAGGAATCCGATAAATCATTGGTGTATATAATTCTTAGACAAGGTCTAAGGACATTGCAAGACAGTCGGAAAACATACAGACCCTTGAGGATGATTTTGATATTTTCCCTTAGTTTTGTGATGAGAGCAGGATTTTCTTCCAGGATATCAATGGCCTTGATTGCAGCACTTGCTAGATATGGAGGCAAAGAAGCAGAAAAAACATAACCCGAACTACTGAGTCGCTGCCATAGGAAGCAGAATATATTAAGATACAGTGTAAACACAGTAACTATTAAGGTCTTATTTGGCAGATCAACTAGCATTTGCATTGAAGTCCACATAGTCATAGTACCTGGTGATCAATGACTCTATTGCTTCCAGTGCAAAATCCTCCTTCTGTGGCTAAAGCATGCCCCATTGCAGCTGTTATGATGTCAATTTTTTCAGCCTGTAAACAGTTATCCGAATCCAATATAAGTATAAAGATTTAATGACTAAGTTTTGGAAAATTATGACATAACATACCGGTACTCCGAAATGTTCAGTAAGACCTCTTCCAGAACTACCAAGCACACCAAAAGAATTGCTTTCATCCAGTAAAACACGGAACTTATATTGTTCTTTAAGTTTTATAATTGCATCCAATGGAGCAATTTGGCCGGAATTCTGCAGTTTTGCATTGAATATAGTTAAAAGACTTGAAGGTAACATTTGGAATGGAATAAGTACAATGCAAATGAGTGGAGAATACTGAAGTGCTGTGATAAATGATTAATTTTGTCAATATAGCCACTTTGTACCTGATATACAGCTTCCACGACAATATAACGTCTGAGTTTCTTAGCTCGCTTATTCTCCTGAGTGACTTTCTCCAATGTGTTCCTTAATGATTCGATATTGTTGTGTTTAAAATATATGACTGTACTCCTAGACAGATGCAGTCCATTTTGTATTCCCCAGTGAACTCCTTCATCCCTGCAAGAGCAGTGCACTGGTGAAATTTTCCCTTGGATGATATCCATGTAATTTCATATAGGGCTAAATCTTATGACCCCCAACTATTGCAATTGTCTTGTCTAATTCCTGGATTTCTTTTTGTATCATTCAACCCCCACAGTTTTTACTTTAAGCACTCATCCCATCAAATCCTTAAAAAAGGTGATTGTTTATGATACACATGTCTTTTTAGTTAGTGAGGACTTCTTTATATTCAAATGTTATCCATGCAAGTGAGAAAATGGGGAAAAATAGTCATTAAATCCCTAAATTGTTGTCCAGATGGTCAACCTAGACGGGAACTTAGCATTATTTTTTAGGGCATAATCATAAACTCAGTGCACTTCACCTTCATGGCAAAAAAATGCTTTGGATACACAATAACTTATATATATTCAGGTAGGGACAGTAGACTGGTTAGATTTTTAAGAGAATGTAAGTGACAACTACAACAATCAAAGGGAATACAATATTTGAAAGAGAAAATGTGGGGGGAGTGGTACAAAATGTAGTCCAGAGGATTGGATTAGAACATGAAAATTGTTAGAGAGCATCTTATGAAACCAACATTTCCATTTAAGGGCAACTCGTTGAACAAAGGTAGATGCATAAAGATATTGTCAGACAAATGAAAACATAAGGCCAGTGGAATAAAGACCATAGAGCTAAGCTCTGAACCCCACCCACTCCAACAACAGCAACAAAATATATTGATGAAGAAGGCTTACGGCGAGATAAGATGAATGAAATTAGAGTGATTTGCAGATCAAATGAAGATGAAATGCAATACTCCCTCTGTCTCCCTTTAGGTTCTGTTTGGTTCAGGGGAAAGGGATGGAAGGGGAGGGAAAATGAGCTCCTCCCCTTGTTTGGTGTAAAATTTTGGAGAGGAGAGGACCAACCCCCCCCCCCCCCCCATCCCATTCCCTTGACTCCCCTTATATTGGTTCCCTCCAAATCGAGGTTTTTAGAACTGAAGCAAACAATTGTGACTAATTTAACCCATCAATTTTATTATATACTCATCCATGCCCGTTGTAAGGTATAATATTTATTTTTAAAATGAGTAATATACAAGGGTATAATAGTAAATTAGTCACTATCTCCCCTTCCTTCCTCTTCAGAAACATCACAAAATATTTCCTTTTTATTCCCGTCCAATCCCTTGCCCTTCCCTCTTCTCCACCCCTTCCACTCCCTCACATCAAACCAAACTAGCTTCAATCTTCCAACTTTCTTTCCAGTACACCCCAAAATAAGACTTTTCTTATAGAGAAAAAAATCAGTGGTTCAAGTTATAATATTCCTTTCTAAATAAATATCCACCATACAACTTCATTTTCACAAACTCCGTGACAAGTCAAACCCATAAAACATTAAATGGAGACAGAAGCAGTAGTATTATATCAAAAAATAATAATTTATCAAAAACTCAATAAATAATAAGCTGGCCCCACACGCTGTTCTTGTCCATCATTTTAAACAGTAGATGTGCACATGTTACTTCAAACAATTGCACTAAATACCTACCCCTTCATACTAAAGCTTCCTCAAGATTAGATACACTAAAAGCTCTTTTTCTTACCCCAACTGTAATGAGTTAGGACTAATAAACAAGCAAATGTTTACTTACACAACAATCACATCTCCTTTTTTGCAGAATGCTGGAATTGCACTGAACATTGTAGAAAGTCCATAAGAGTAGAGAATAGAATCAGGAGTTCCTATAAACTTTGCTATTCTGGACTCACAATCTAGATGGACATCTGGAAAAATAAAGAACGCAAGACTGGTGTCATAATCAGAGCAAAAAGGGATAAATTGTAATTTGAAAGTAATTCAGTAGACAGGTTAAATATGTTTGTCATTTCCTATTTTAAATTTTTAAATGCTCTGTACAAGATCAATTTTTTCTTTTTATTCAAAATATACTAAATTACAAGGTCATTGTCATTGATATATTTTTAGAAACTTAATCGAATATATGCATAGTTATTACAAATTCATTTAAAAATATGTTAAATTAATACTCCCTCCATCCTAATTTAAATTGTGTGTTTCGGTTTAAGATGTTTGACTGAAGTTATTTTCAAATCATTTTATATGAAAAATGGTGAAGGATTAAAAAAACAAAAATTAAACATTTAGAAACTACATCAAAAGATCTACAAAACTAGTGGTCACATGACTATATTATTTTATTGAATGACTAACGAAAATAGAAAAAGAAAGTGAATAAAGTTTGACCTTGTAAATAGTAAACAGATAACTTAATTTGGAACGGAAAGAGTACTTTCTAATGAAAATCTTTAGCTAAATTTTATACGTAGTCGTAGTAAATTTTTAGTAAAATTCTTTACAATCTATCTCATGTTTTTAACACACATATCTAAGACTCACTTTGATGGGAAAGTTTGGTTCTCTATGTTGCTACTCATTTTGGAGCAAGGTATCAATATCAAACCCCTTAGCTTACAATTTTCATTTCGTAAGCCAAAGATTTCTATTGAAAAAGTATTAATTTAGAAAAAAATTATACCCGAGTATGAATTTGCAATGTAGTTATTTGATTAAGCTTCTAAAAATATTTCATTCATTTTAACCTTGTAATTAAGTATATGTCGAATACAATGAATAAATTAATCGTGTACGAAGTATTAAATAATTTAAAAATAGGAATGAATGAACGAAAAGAATTTTAGAGGTACTAAAAATAAAATTTACTCATATAAATATTACAGGAATCAAACATAAACTTAAATTGGGGGAGTATTTCCAAAAATAATAATTGTACACGGATGGTTTAGTTAAAAAAATTAGAGGGACCAAAAAAACGCTAATTTTACAGGGACTAAAACCCTATTTAGCACTTAAGTATACCCTCCATCTCAATGTGCTTGTGTAGTTTTCAGTTTTGAACTGTCCCAGTGTATTTGTCCCATATAAAGTAAAATGTCATATTGACTAATTCACCCCCACCTCAAACCCACTTGAAATTCCAATCTTCCTTTTCTATTACTTTCCCAGCCTTCAATTGCAGCAGATCCTACAAAAGTCAGTTGATTGACATAAACCTTGAAGCGGCAAGGGGTTGGGACTCCATTGCCGGTGTTTTCTATGCTACGTATTTCGAAATATCTAGGGTCAGCAAGGAGCATTGGTGAAGTGAACAATAAGGGCATATTAGTAACTTCATCTACTTATTGCATTTTCCTTGGTCCATGTGCCAAAAGGAAAGTGGACAAACACATTGGTATGGAGGGGTAATTGCTATATGCAGCTCCACTTTGTGTTCCGTATATCTTACCAATTGTTCCATAAAAGCCACGAGGACCGCAAGACCCAACACCATACTTTTCCAGCGCTGTAGTGCATGCTTCCTGTGCCACACAAGTGTGAATGCTGCTCACTCAACTAAATGAAAGGAAAGAAGTTAAGAGCAAAATGTTCTAAACAAATCTTCTTACAAGTATCTTTTCATGTCCAACTAAGCCAAGGTAGTTTGCTGAAGTAAAGTTTACAACTTCTTTACCGGCAATTACAGCATGGGGACCTGCAGCACTGTTTTTACGCAACTTTCAAGGAATGCATCAGAAGGTAATGAAACTCTTAAGAGACAAGACAACTTAATAATCCATACAAGTGCCAAAGTTACAAAGATGATTAGTTTAAGTGTGTAAATGTGCATTTCACAACCATATTTATCTTTCCCAATTTCTATTTCCTAGAAAAGGGTGATGTAGAACAGAAAAATACAGATGACAGAAATGTGCCATGTCATGCTAAAAAGAAAACATATATTTTCCTCAAAACCTTGATACACATATTATGGATCCTGGATCCGAGGGTAGCACTAGAATAAGCAGATGAAGCAACGGAACAGTAAAACCTTCTATTAGGGTTTCAAAATTGGAGTGCAAGTCCCCCTCTTTGAAGAAGGGTACTATTTATATTTATCTCCTATCCGTACAAGTAAACCTTGCTACGTCATCACGTGACCTCAATGCGGGGTGTTGGGCCAAGCCCAAAATGAGCGGTCAAATGGGGGTTTTTAGTAGACTAAGGCCTATGGTCGATTAGCCGAGCTCATTTGCGAAGCTTGCAGGCTAGGTTGCACTGGGACGGGTGCGGGTACATATACGGGGACGGGGACGGATTCGGGAATCGGCATTTTAAAAAATTTTAGGATGCGGGGACGGCAAGGATGTTGGGTTATTCGGTGAAGGCTTTAGAGCTGTGGGCTTTAAGCCTGGTCGGCTAAAGGGAAGAAACATGGGGGGCCGGTTTTAGTTATTAATTAAAGGGCCCATTAGTTGTTTCTTGTTTAGCAAGTTGTTAACCCTAGTTTATATCTTATAAATACCCAATCATGTAACTATAATCTGTGAGCACCTAATAAAAGATAAACCCTAGCTGCAACCCGTGGAGTAGTTTACTGACCGAACCACGTTAAATCTCGTGTTCTTATTTTCTGCTATTTGTGT